GTGCAACAGCGGAGCCGGAATCAATGATCGTTAAAATGTCATCGAGCACTCTAGTGAGTGCTGTTTCTGTGGAGTCGTTTTGATGGTAAGCTGACTGGAAGCAGCAGTAGTTTGCGAAGGAGGTGATGTGTGGTTTTAGCTGGGCAAGGGCTAGTTGTTCAAGGAGTTTAGAGAGGTTCGAGAGATTAGTAATGGGACGATAACTAGATGGGTTATCCGGGTCGAGACTGGGTTTCTTTAACTAGGGAGAAACCGGGCCAGATTTGAGGTTGGACGGAAAACACCCCATAGAGAATGAGGCATTTGCAATGTTCCTGGTCATGATGGCGAGTTCCGGGGCACATTGCTTGAACAAGGAACCTGGGAGCACGTCGAGTGGGGATAACTTCAATTGAAGTGATTCAATTAAAGAGAAAACGTATTTTGTAGACACCGGCTTTAGTGTAGTTAGAAGAGTGTCTGGGCGAGTGCTTACAATTTCAGTTAACTTGAGCGGGGTACAATGGTGCGATGTGCGAGTAGACGTTCACGAGTTTGCGACGGTGATGAGCTTGTTGGTGAAGTAAGTATTAAAAGAGGTGGCAAGTTTCAGTGAGGCAAGGGGATCGCTAAGGTGAGGGACCATGGTGCTACCAGGATGTAGAAGATCTTTGAGGGTTTTCCATAGAATGCGTGGTTTTCCGGTTGCTTTTTTGATGCGTTCCTCAATGTAGGAGGAACGTGAGACTAGAATCAGTTTGTTAGTTTTCCTGCAGGCGACTCTGTAAGCAAGTCGATCAGCAGGTGTCTACCCGCGGGATGCGATACTTTCAAGGCGCTTCTTGGTTCGCTTAGTAATGATGGCGTCTCTTGAAAGCCAGTGAGTGTCGTGGGAAGACTCCCTAGCGGTTCGTGATTTTAACAGAGCCAATTTGTCCAGCACCGCCCTCATGTCAGCTTCTAGTTGGAGAGCGCAGACGGTTGGATCAGATGATGGGGATAACATTGAAGGCAAATTTGCAAGGAGGTGGCGTAAAGCAGAAAACTCGATACCCTTGAAATTACGCGAGTTGCGGGTGAATTTGATGGTGATTGGCTTGTGTCTTGCCTCACGGCAGATGTGGAGCGTACGTTCACAGGAAGTTCCTGTTTTTTTATGCAAATTTTGGTCACGTGACCAGGAAGTCACGATGTTAGATTTTCAGTGAACCACGCGGGCATCGGCCATCTTGCTCATAATTCAAGATGGCGGCACGCATCGCATCTCAGTGAGACCACAGCCGCACTTGTCCATTGTGGGAGCTTAAGAAGCATTGTCTATAAGTTTGTTTATATTCCTATAATATTGGCAATGCTGTTGTAATATTGGAATGACCGTTATAGTGATGTAAATGCCTTTATGGTGCCGTTAAGTTGTTGTAGTAAATACGAGGCCTAGTTAGTAACAAAGCCTGCGACTTTCCTTATTGTGGATGTTACTTGTGATTTAGTAGGTCGACTCAGACTTGTGCCTATGTTGCGATCCTGAGAGTAAAGATGACGAAGTATCTCATCCACACTTTAGTGTTATGTGTAATGCTGTACATTTGGGATGCAGTGGGATGAATACACGATGTGCCTGTATGCAACGCACCGGCTTGTGCTCTTGTCTAGCTGTTCAGTGGTAATGTAGGGGCCTGGTCCGTCCAGGATCTATTGTTATCTAAGACAATGTTCTGATGCTGTGGTGTTCATTGCGTTGGTGTTTCCGGATTATAACAGATGCTGTATCTGTTTTCTCACCAGTTTTACCTTGTTACAATCAATAAATGACGATTGGAGTTGGACGTTCATCCTGGCTCCGAGGGCTTATTGAACGCAAGGGTATCTACTCGACTAGCGGTGCAACGCAGCGCACAGCGAGGCCGAGATAGCTTGGGAATTTGGAGGGAAAAAAGTATGAGGCAGTGGTCGGAGTAACCAGTTTGGAGAACTCCCTGTGCAGTGATGCGTCGATGCTGGTCAGGTTCCAGAACCAGGTCGAGCATGCTCTCAACATTTGTCGAGGAAGCTTTGGTGGGGCCTGAGTTTGTGATGACCAGGTTATGGCAGGCCAAAGTTGACTCAAAGCGACTATTGATGGAGGCTGGGGTATTGCCGGGGCAATTAAAGTACTGCAGGTAAGTAGTTTTCAGTTTTAAAGGCATAGTTTAACAAGACAACACTTGCCACCATCCTTCAAACTCATTGGTGAAAAAGAGCAAAGTTTTTGTTTAAATTATAATATAATGTTCATGCGAGAGCTGGGGGCTTATGGGACTCCGGGGTCCCGCCATAAAGTTCATATAACTTACCCCATTAAGTGCTGTTAACACCACGCACGACCGCCTTTGTCTCCAGAGTGGCGATGTTTACAAATCGCAGCAGGTACTCATTTGAGGCTGAATCGACTTAGGAGAGGCCCATGACCGTTTCAGATAATCGTCACTGGCGTTGGCCATGAGCGGGAATCGAACTCGGGTCACTGGGCACGTAGTGCAGCGTGCTATCCATGACTTACCACTCGCACACATATACACTGGCACACACCACATTCACACGCTTGGAGGAAGACCAGCACTAACTATGGTACCAATGGACATTGATGTTAGCAGTGGTTGGGGGATCAAACTCAAGTGGTTATGGTCATGGTACAGTGTGCTAACCCCTGTGCCACGACCGTATCAGCACCGGATGGAAATTCCACTGATACAGCCATAAAGAACTTCTAGAACTACGTGGTCAAAACGATGTTAAACAATGTGGGAGCCAGAGGGCATCCCTGTTGCACCCAAAGGTGAACAGGAAATGGCTCGGACGCCCAGCCAAGCAACTTTACCCGGGCCTGCCCACTGTCATGAAGGTCCTTAGTGACTCTGAGCAGAGGGTCAAATGATTCCAAAAGCACGAAGAATATTTCAAAGCCCTGGCCCCTTGATGGTATCGTAGGTCTCGACCAGGTCAATAAAGCAGAGCTGAAGGTACGATTGAAATTCCCTACACCTGTATGTTGAACGTCTTTCGCACCATACGCAGCCAACCTCTGCTGTAGCAGACATGGTATATCTGTGCAGGACTGCCCCGGTTTCAAACCATATCGGGGCTCCACAAGCCTCTCAAAGCATGCTGCCTAGCAAGGCGATGTTGCATTATCCTTGCCAGCACTTTTCCTGGCACGCCGAGATTCCAAAGAACACAGGATGAGATGTTACTATCCTTTGTGCAAGCACTTCCAAGAGTTCATGAACAGTGAGCCTGGTGAAATTTGGGGAGCGCATCGTCAGTAGTGAACCTTTGGTTCCTAGCAGGGGCGGTTTCTTCATTAGGGCGATTGGGCAACGCACCACCAATGTCATTCAACCACAGTCACGCTAGCCGTCACTGTGCCTCTGGATATAGTCCAATCAGCGTCATGCTACGTTCTGTGGAGTACCGCCTCTTTTTGGGCGATTTCCCTCCAGCTGAGAATCGCCCCGAGTGGTCCCATAGACTTACATTCAAAGATGTTTTTTTTCGAACGGGGGCGCTGCAATGCATTCTCTATGGCTTCCGGGAGGGCTCGCCCTAACGTGCTTACGTCATCATACGTGCTTACGTCATCATACGTAAGCACGTTTCATCCAACAATATTTGTCGCCACCTAGTGGAATCTTTAATAAAAGAAACTTGAGTGGTTTGTTTTAATAGTGAGTATAGAAACAAACAAGATGTATTGTAAGAGTCACTTTATTTTTCATTAATATTAAAGAAGTGAAGTTGCCTTTACATGCTTAAGCTGTTAATTTATCCATTGCATGGGTGGACCTTATCCTTATCAATCATCCAGACATTTGCCCCCCCCCCCCCCCCCGAGAGATTTTGCAGGAGCCGCCACTGGTTCCTAGGGTGTTTCGGCCTTTCATACTATACACCCTCCCCAAAGGCGGCCAGCGACAGGGTGATCAATCCTACGCTTGCGTCCCATTCCCAATTAGTCATAGGAGTTGCCTTGTTGTTGATAGCCAACATCTCATGGGACTATGCATGGCAGGGGTGTCCTCCTCCCTGAGTCAAGCATTGTTGACTGTATACCTCCTGCAGTCTGATAGTTGTTGCAATAAATGTCATCTACCATCCACCTCACCCCCATCCCCCCAAGAGCATCCTTCCAATCCTGCAGAATCCATCCCGTGGTCCAAAAAGTCGTCACCACCCTTCCTCGCTTGAGAGGTCATCTCTCTCGCTTTCAGCAGTCTCTGGGGATGTTGTTTGGTGGCCGCTTTGATGATGGCGGTGACGAAAAATGCGCTAAGTTATGCGGCACCGGATCGATGGTTTGCAGCGCGATTTCTGTTTCGGCCTGGAGGACCAACCAGTTCACCTTCCAGGACGTTCCAGCGAGCAGCTGGCTTGGATGTGATCATCAAAATTTGAAGCCCGATGCGGACGATTGCTGGTCGTCGTTGGCTTCTGGGGAATGGTTGCGAGGATTTTCCTCGTTGCGGACAGCGGGAGGCCATGGTGGTCTTTGAACACAAAGCAGGTCTGGATTGTACACTCCTGCCCTGCCCCCGTTTCCATTCAGCAGAGTGGAAACTGCCTTCCCTGTTCAGGGTAGAGCGAAATATTGGACATCATGCCAAACACACGGGTAACAACCCGAAAACACGAATCTGCTGGCGCTGCACTCAGTTGCTCTCTCTCCATCTTTCATTTACGATGAAGCGCAACCATTAGACCGGATCGTTGACCCACGTGCACGATGGAGGAGGGCAGGCGACCTCGACGAGCGTGAGAGCGGCACCCAGAGGTTGGTGACACAAGGAAGAGCCTCCTAAAAGGACAGGCATCGGCTTTACAACAACAATAACAGGGTATCGCAGGCAGAGGCCACGATAACCTCTTAACCTTGACAAGAAGCCCAGACAACCTGAGGGTCACAAGATGACAAAGGTATTGTGTAGTATTGTTTTAATCAGACTGAAAGGTGCGACGGTCACACGCCACCCCACCCCACCCCCCCTCGTATCAACAGCCACGACCTCCACCCCCGACCCCTACCCCCAAACCAAGGAATGGTACAATATGCATGTTCAAGTCCTTGCTATAATAATTCATATTCATAAGGGTTTTCACAGTTCGGTCAGGTGGCGTGTTCAATGCGTTTGACTCCCAAAGTGAAGGTCGTGGGTTAAATTCCCAACATTATTCGGGGGGCGGCAGGTGGTGAACTTCATCCAGCAGTGGATTGCCAAACGGCAGAAAATTAGAATTAGTGCAGCATTAATGAATACAAGTGTCACCATTTTGTCGGAAGGAAATAATTTGTTGTCACTGCGGATACATTTCTACTGCTCATCACCATGAGAATGTGGAATTTCTACCACTGGCTCAGGGATGCAAGTACAGGTTAGCGCTGGGTCAACGTGGGTAGAGGAAATGGGTCATTCGGTCAAACTACAGGCTGTTAAAGGTCATCAGCCTCCAAAAAATAAACAAGTAAACAATGCGATTCGGGCCATACCATTCCACTTGCATAGCGGTGGGGGTCGGGCTAATGGGTAAAGACGCTGTACCCCTTCAAACGTTTCAGGCCTCTCGCCTTAAAAGACGCAAACAAAAGTACATACTCTGCTCTTCGATGGTAACTTCACACCGAGGCCGTCCTTGGCTGCCCCACACACGAGTTTAAAGTCATTCCTTAACAACAAAAGGAGCCAAATAGAACGGTCCATATTTGTCTTTGGGTCCGGCCCACCTTTGCGGTTCGGAGCTTTTCCGCCAAACCTCCTCGTCATAGACGCTCCACGACCCGACGACGACTGTCTCGCTCTTACAGGGACATTTATCTACGGCGTGCCATTCGTGTCGATCGAAATTTTCTCCCGATTACGGCACCACATCTCCTCCACCATGGCTCAAGACCTTTCACGACCGAATTCAAACATCAACAACATCAATCAACGCGGCGCCAACAACCTCCGTTGAGCGCGGCAATCTTGTCGGGTGGTCAGAGGGGTTTACGGGAACGTTTGGCATTATTCACCGAACATCAGCACGTGGCCAAACCACAAATATTTAACAAAGACCTTAAACAGACTTTTGCGCGTCACCGAAACGCCCCATGGCAGCGACGTCACCAGAGGGTCAATTTAAAGTATTTTTCTTATTACGATTATTATTCTCCTTACCAATGAGTATTCATATCGGCATCGGGACAGACAAGTTACAGACTATATACGATTTGATGAGATAATACCTGTTAGGGATGTGTCTTCATTGCATTAGGACATGACAATGACGGTTTTTATATATATAAGTATACTTTCTTTTTTTATTCAACAATCCCAATGTGTTCTAAGCACTACGTAATCTCATTCGTTTCAAACAATGAACACTGTGCAACATTTAATATGAGTAAGCTGTTTTGTGTATGTGTGTGTGGCGGCTGCCGAGAGAAAAATCCAGAAAAAAAAATAGATATTTGAAAATGTACAATGCACATCTTACACGACGAATCTGGAAAAATACTTGCGCCCTCTTCCATTACACGAGTTCCTTTGTAAGCGCAACGCGACCGTTTCATTCAGAACCGATTCCTCGTGTTGGCACAAACTGCTTGGCTTGTATGTACCGTACGACTGCATTGCAGGTTGACTGTGGGACGTCAACAGGGGGTGGCGGTCACTGGGTGTGCAAACCAGTGACACAATAGTGGCCATTTGGTGGGGGGGGAAAGGTAGAAATGGTAGCCATTTTGTGGCAATAGGGAAAAAGGCCATTTTGTGGCAATAGACAAAGAATGGCCATTTTGTGGCAATAGAGAAACAAGAGCACCCATTTTGTGGAAAGCAGGAGACAATTGCAGCCATTAAGTGAGGGGGGGGGGGGAAGTCCGCTTTGGTTAGAGTGGGGGAAAAGTAAGATTCGGAGGTGATTTGATGGAGACGGATAGAAACGGCCGGCCATATTTTGACGGTAAAGAGCGGGGAAACGATGGTGACGTTTGCAAAAAAAAATGGGTAGAAGACAGCCGTGATTTGTATGAAAGTAATTGGGAAAATGGCAAGCGTTTGGTAAATACGAGAAATGAAGGACGGACGGCTGCCATGAAATTTGTGCCAACACGGGAGCGGCATGCCCTGCATCGGGGGGCGAGTCGAGGATAAAAGCCACCAATGGACAATGGGTACCTGCCAATGGTTAAGAACAGCAAGTAGGTCTTCATAACATGCTTTGATCGCGGGGTGGTAAGCATTGTAGTGGGTGTTCTCTCGCATGTGTGGGCTTTTCTCCGCGCACTCCCAAATAGAACAAAAACAATCCGAAATAATTCTCTAAACCTCCGAGGCAGAAGTATCGAGACAGATTTTCTGGGTAAATAAAACATCTCATAGTAATAAAACATCTCATCCTTTATTTAACCATGAAGTGAAAGCCCTCGGAAATGCACTCTGCCGATTACTATTCACCTTATCCTTTGTGACTAGCGTTTGTAATTCAACCACATAATGGACCACTGATATCCATTACTTATTACATGTTTTAAAGTAATTTCAAGAACCAGGTGAAAACTCATTCGAATTGATACTTGTTTTTATTTAACTGACATAGCCGACTTAACCAGGTGAGAGCCATCGAAATTCAGGAAGACATTCAGATGGACACACACACGTGCACATATCTATACCAAGATAAAGACAAAGCCTGGCGTACATTGAACAGCGGTGGGTGTGACCAGCACCATGCCCAGGTGTAAATATCTATGGGACCTTTATGCCAGTATCCAAAATAATGAAAAATAATTGTTTTTACCCAGATGTCTTTGTCTCCCCCATTGTAAACTTCACGCAGCACACACACTATTTTGCATTCACAAATCTGCTCTGACAGACACACACACACTTTAACACGTAGACTTTCGCGGCCAATATTATTAATAAAGGTTTTTGGGTTAGATCACGTTATTTATAAGACACACACTATATATACACACAAAACAAATGCAGGAAACACCCCCATTGTTTAGCCATATAGATCATAGCGGCCAATGCGTAGAGAGCACTTATTAAGGTCCAGGGCCACATCACACAAGGGGGTGGTGTGGCCAGGGAAGACAAAAGACAAAGGTCCCCTGTATAGCCTGTAACAGACTGTTGGTGCAAGTGCTGTTAAGCGAGCACCGACGAAGGCTGACACGGCACACGGGGGGGTGGGTGGTCAACACCGAGTGGTGATGTTTACACACCAGGTACTCATTTGAAGCTGAGTTAACCTAGGGGAGGCCCAGAACTGGTTCAGATAATCTTCACTGATGTTGGTGGCCGTCAGCGGGACCCGAACCTGGGTCTCGAGGTTCGTAGCGCAGCGCACTAACCGCTACACTACCGCTCCCCACACACACTCGTAACCTCAAAGGAACGAGTACACATACACACACGGTCTGTTGTGTCTCTTATAATCACCTGCATCTTGCTAAGTGAGAGTTGTGACCTGGACAATCTGAGGGATGACATCCCCTGCACTCAGTGCATTGGAACCTTGATGAGCCACCATCCATTACACCGGCATTGACACTTTGACTGCTTTGACACACACACGAGCGCACGCGTGCGCTCGTGTACGTGCGCACCTACAAACATAAAGATTCTGCCAAGTACCACCCACCGCACCACGTAGAGCACTAACAGATTGCTGGGGCAGCTGCCATTAGCGAGCACCTATGAAGGCCATGCACAGCAAATAACGTTTAAATGTGATTCGGTTCACGGCACTCGGCAAAATGTGTTCGAGGGTTGCCAGTGGCCCCATGGGTGCAGAGGCTGGAAACCTCGTCTAGCCAACAACCTCCAAGCAGCCTGCACCACTCTCCGAAACCTTGTGTCTCCCCAGTGCTCAGATTCTTTCACACCGCACCAGGTGCTCATTTCAAATTTGAGACTGAGTCGACCTATGAGAAGCCCCAGGACTGGTTCAGATATTTTGTAACTGATGTTGACCCGTCAGCAGAAACAGAACGAGTGCACTAACCGCTGCACCGTTCATCCACACCGTTCATCTACACCACACACACACTCACACATATACATACATAGACCCCCCCCCCCCCCCGTATAGCCTTAACAGACTGTTGGGGCAAGTGCTGTTAGTGAGCACCTACGAAGGCCGAAGCGGTGGGTGGCCAGCACCATGCCCAGCCGCCTTTGTCTCCCAAGTGGCAATGTTTTTACGCACCGCACCAGGTACTCATTTGAGGCGGAATCGACCTAGAGGAGGCCCAGGACCGATTCAGATAATCATTACTGGTGTTGACCGTGAGCGAGAATCGTACTTGGGCCGACGGATTTATAGCGTGGTGTGCTAAACATTGCACGAACGCGTCCCATAACATATACACACATACAAAGACCCCCCCGTATAGCCTTAACAGACTGTAGGGGCAAGTGCTATTAGCGAGCAGCACCTATGAAGGCCGACACGGCACACGAGGGGCTGGGTGCCCAGCACCACGCGCGGCCGCCTTTGTCTCCCCAGTAGCGATGTTTACACACCGTACCAGGTACTCATTTGAGGTTGAGCCGATACACGTACACACACACAAACTCGCACACGCATATCCACTCGGACACCTGCACACGAATTTGACGGTAGTTTCACCGTTGTTTTTGTTGTTGTTGCAATGTTATTTGGTTCACGGCGTTCCGCAAAATGTGCGCGAGGGATGTCTGTAGCCCGCGTGTTGCAGAGAAGCCGGGAACCCCTTCCCCTCTCGCCTACACCCCTCCAAGCTAGCAAAGGGACATGGCCACACACGGCCACATCATTCACACTGAGCAACCAGTCGAACCCGGCTCGGTTGCAACCCAGAGATCACTGTTCGTCTCGGCTGCCTGCTCCCCCCTCGCCCCCCCACAACCCCCCCCCCGTCCCCCCCTCCGTCCCCTCAACCCACCCGGCGCCGTGTGATTTATTCGGTAATCTCCGAGACGTATCGGTGCCTCTGCAGCCAGTTTTTCCATCTCGTTACTGCCCGAGCGTCACCATCGGTTCTCAATTCTCGATTAGTTTTTTTTTGTTTTGGTCCGAGACGACGGACAGCGAGCCTGAGACTAAGATGATGGGAAGTAGGGAAGATGGATCTTGAACAGAGAACTTCTAGAATGAAGAGGTGTGGAGGGGAGGAAGAATATAGGGAGCAATTGGGACAAAATTAGGGGAGACGGATGGATATGATGTCGCCAATACATATCCCGGAACGGCGTTCAGGATTGTTCTGACTGAAATTAACGACTGATTATCATAACACATCCTCTCCCTCCTGTCTCTGCCCGCGTGCCGCCCCGTGTCTCATCTCCCACATGGCCACCGCACGGCCGTGTAAAACTTCCATCAATAAAGCCGCCGCCGCTGCCACGGGCACCGTGAATGATTCAGCGGAGCAAGGCGAAGCGCTTCAGACAATGACTGCAGTCACCACCTCCACACGTCGCAGTGATTTTACTCGCTCGCTCGCGCCATTGCTCGCTCGTTCACTCATTCAACGGAACACAGTCTGTGTCGCACACTTTTGGACACCTATTGTCTCTTTACATTATTAGTACACTAGCCACCCTATATCTAGTCGATGTTTCTGTAGCTTATTTTGCAATTGTGCTGTGATCAGTCGAATATATTCAGTAATTTTTGCCAAAAATAACGATAGTTATATAAAAGTCAACATCAAATAAATACAGCAATGAAAAGGACAACAATGCTTCATAGCTATACGGTTATTTGAATCATTATTTTAGTGACCCGGGTCACTCTCACACACGAGTCTCATCCTGGCCTCGCGAAATCTCACCCGATTAGACAAACTTCACTTTCCTGTCGGTTTGCCTGCCCATCTGTCTGTAACATGGGGTCTAGATAACTTTGGGAAAGATGATTAAAGACAAACTAACCTCGAGTATAAAGTTACGTTACTCTCAAACGTTGTACCTGTGCCACAATGCAAGAAGGGGAGTAGAGTAACGGACGGTATCAAGAGAAAGAATGGGAAGGGGATGCCGGGATGGAAGTCCTCAGGATGGACAAAGAGGAGGGCACGGCTCAAGATATGAACCAGAGAAAAAGGAGTGCTGGGCAGGAAGGGGAGGAGGTTGAGGTAATGACCGGACCAAGATGCGAGACCGAAGTGAGCTGCACGGAGCAGTGTCTGTTGTCGTAATGGGCGGGGAAAGATTCAAAGTGGGATGGGCACACACAAATCATATGATTTGTGAGAGGCTTGAGGCGATTGAGATATATACGGTATAGATGATTGAAAACAGGACACACAAATCCTTGGTTCTTTCGGTAAAGTCATGTAGAAGGGAAATAATAATATATATATAATCATCATCAGGTGTGAAATCCACAGCAAGAAAATTTTATTGCTGTGGATTTCACACCTGCTGATGATTGCTTGTGTTGCAGTCGAAACGTCGTGAGAATTTTATTGTTTTATATTTTTATTATTTCCCTTCTACGTGACTTTACCGAAAGAACCAAGAATATGAATCCCTGCAGTCACGAAAGCTTTAAATCAAAAAAGGACACACGTTCATCAAATGCGAGCCCAAACCCCAGAGACACAACGTGCCAGGGGTTTGCGTCACCCATAGGCTGTGCTGCTCCCAGATAAAGGGTGCAGCACGCTTCCCCTTCAGTGCTGCATTCAAGGGGGGAGATTTAAGTGCCTTGTATACCGGGCCACAGATCTCCCCATGGGCTCTCACCTGGCGAAGTAAAGGTATGTCTGTTAAACTTCTCTTGCACCAAAAGTAGTCAACTGCGCTAATCGAAGGTGATGTGCTGAGGAGGCAGGTTGTACCCAGGTCTCCCCATGGGCTCTCACCTGGCGAAGTAAAGGTGGTGTGTGCTCGCTAGGCATGTTGTGACACATCGATCCACCATCCAAAATCGACTCTGACCGTTCACAACACACGATTACAACTACGACGAATCGGCACGTTCTGTTCACGTGACAACCCTTACTAGATAGCTGTGTCGGGTGATGGCGGGTTTTAACGACACATTTATACATTTACGCGATCTAACCCAGAAACCTCTATTATGGCCACACATCTTGGAAGAGCTGGGAGTTACCTACACTTCACCCCACCACACGCGACCTGCTGATCGACCGCCTGCCGTGGACTCATCTACACACTGCTGGGTGGACAGAGCGTGGAGGGATTTGATCAACTAGGCCCCCAGTTGTTTCAACTGCCGCGTTCGAACCTGCAAAGCACCGGATTATTATGCTAACCATTGCACCATCCGCCGCGGTAGATTTCCCTGTAACTGTGTAGGTATTAAACCGGGGTGGTAAACCTGGCCCAGCGGTAACACGTTTTCCGCTTGTCGCCGAGGTTTGCGGTTCGAGTGCGGCAGGCCGCCCTGGTTAACACCGTGTGGGGTATTATAGGCGTAGAAATAAAACTGCGTGCCGGCCGCTTCCCAGTGGATATCTAGAGGTCCCGCGGCGTCATTGGGAATGGGTGGGGCCACTTGTGTGCCGGCATCGCGGTCCCAAGCTTGCCGAATTTGGAAGATTACACCGCAGATTACTCCGCTGGGATCGCACGTACGCACACACATCCACATGAGCAGCTGAAGCAACATCGCACCCCCCCCTACCCTCGCGAAACTACGGCAGGCCGTGTCCACCAAACATAGCGATGGCGCCTTCCTCCGCGACAACCGCCCTGCGCTATTAAGGACAGCGCCAATGCCAAAAATGAACCAAATATATTAAATTGTCAACAAGACCAAATAAAATAAAAAACGGTAATTTCCCGAACGGAAGCACGACCTGGAGTCGTGAGCTGTGATCGGACACCGTGTCTCGATCGTCACCACATGCCCAGCCACCTCCCTCCCGCACGCGCACGGCAATTGTCTTGAGTGCATTCCGGGGGCTCCTGGGTTTTCAAATAAAATTCAATCAAACGTAATAAATAAATAAATATTTGCTTCACCCACACTGGCGATCATCAGCACCACGTGGCGCAGCTACCCTACTCCGGCACACTATTGCTGAGGTTTTTTTTAAACTCCCACAGATGCTGTGCAGCCTAAATATATATTTGTATGTATTTATATGTTATAATATTTCGGGTTTTCCCTGCCTCAGATGGCATGGCGTATGGAGAGGCGCATTCATCCGACACACGGGGGACACGGAGAAATTGGGACACGTGGACGATGTGAGACATGGGGACATGTGACAATGTGGGACACGGGGACATGTGACAATGTGACACATGGGGACATGTGACAATGTGGGACACGCGAACACGTGACCATCCTGGAACACACGACCTGAGACACGGGGGATACCGGGTCACGTGACGTGGGCACACAAGACATCTGACCACAAGGACACACACGGAGTTCGGTGGGACACGGGACGACACATGGGAAGAAACAGCAATCGGGACATTGCAGTGGGGAACAAACACACTGCAAGCACACACGGTGAAGACACGGTTCATACAGAACACTCAGTGAAGGCACTGAACACACTGGCAATGAAGACACTGAGCACACAGCACCACCTTTTCACCGGCACAACTGAGCCGAGGCCGTCGCGTGCCGAGACGAGCCACCCTGGCAACAGCTCAGGAAGCACCGGGTTTGTTTTTTTCCACTGCAGGAGCCGAGCCGTGCTGCTGAGGTCACGCGAAATGAACGCGCAACGCTCGAGCGTAACGACTGACGCAAAGTTATGACGACAAATAAAAACCTCGCTCCTTGGCCCTGCTGAGCCCCCCCCCCCCCGAGTCAGATTCAGAGGTCTTGCAAAGCCAGAGTTTCACAGTCGGGCTTTGCGGCAGGGCAAATGACCAGTGGGAAACCACCCAGTACTGAGGGCCCTGGGCTGGCTTGGATCAGATGTTCCGGTGGAAAAGGTGTATTGGTGAATACACTTTACATAGGACACTTAGTGACAAAGTCACTGTCATGTACACAGGAGACTCATTGAAGACACTTACAGTGAAGACACTCATAGTCACAAGGGGACTCCGTAAACACAACACTTACATGTACAGAACACTCCGTGAAGAAACTCCTTACACACACTTCACACACCGCACACTCACACATTTCACACCACACCAAACCACACGCGCACGCCTCCACACCCATTACCACCTCCCCCCACCTCCTCACACGTACATGTGAATGCGCTTTTGTATGACCTGCCGGCACAGCGGGCACTGCGCCAGGCCCGGTGCGCAGGCCCCGCACGCACCGTGCCCGCACAGGAAGACGATGTCGCGGATCTGGTCCATGCACACGGGGCACGTGAGCCGGCTCTCCATGTCGCGACACCGCCGCACCAGCTCCGCCACCTCCTCCGCGCCTGCGCCGCCGCTGGCGCCGGGGTCGCCCACCACCGGCAATGCCGCTGACGGGGCGGGGGTGGAAGTGCCATCCCCGCCCCCCACCATCAGCGGTAGCCCCGAAGAGGACGGCGAGAGCGACGATGACGGCGTCGGCGTCGTCTGAAGAGACGCGATGTCGAGCTCCGTGCCGTCTGCTTGGAACAGAGGACAAACGGACGGATGGACAGACGGATGGATTGGACAGTCAGACAAACGGATGGATGGGCAGATGGACGATGGGATGGATGAACCGACAAGTTACATGGACAAATGGATGGATGGGTGGATAGTCGGAAAAATTGAAACACGGACAGACAAATGGACGGATGGATAAATGGATAAACGTAAGGATGGATGACTGGACGGACAGACAGTTGCATGGACAAATGGATAGAGGGACAGTGAAACAAACGAACAGTTGTTCAAGATAGGCCGTACCCATTTGAAAAAAAGCTTTCCAGGACAAATGAATGCTGGAAAGCATTACATAAGGTTTAGGTGTTTAAAAAACAAGTTGTATATGGCGTCGTTCGTGCCACCTGCATCTCACAAGGAACTGCATTCGAGCAGGAAGGCAGCAGCCAGGCGGTGAGCCGACTATTGCAGCGGTTGCCCAAGCTCTGCAGTCCACTATGCATCAAGATGTTCTCAAGCAATTAAGGCTCATTCATACATGTGGGAGGAAACTGTAGCCATGTGAGCAAGGGGGCAACACTCTATCCCACACAGAAGGGTCACATGATGATAAGTCCGCACTTTGCCACACTGCCTTCTCCTGGTATGGATACTCCTCGACGCCCACCCACGGGAAGGGAGTTGTTGTGACATTGAGCGATCCGCCAACCATCACTGCTTCCATAATGCCGGGTTACACGTGCACACCAGCGCGTGCGCCAATGCCGCCAACGCGTACGCACGACTTTTTCCTTGCTCGTTTGAAACAAATAAACCAAACATTCTCTTTCTCGCACATTCTATTCCATTCGTGCTGCTGTCGGGCATCGTGATCAGAGAGACGCGATGGGGAAGCTCCCACTGGGATCTCGAGCAGGGAGCAGTGCACCACCCTAAGCGGTGGAGGAGTGTAGAGATGTCACCACTGACCTGATCGCAACTTCTTGACGATGGTCACTTGGCACGAAATGCATTTCTTCATCTTCACTGTGCACTCTGTAAGGGTGAGTGCGGTGGGGGGGGGGGAAGAGCGGGAGTCAGGTTAATGTGGTAAGAACAAAGATCCCCCATGTAGCCTTAACAGACTGGTGGAGCAAGTGCTGTTAGCGAGCACACACCCACACACAGGTGAACGAATGAGTGAGCGAGTGAGTAAACAAACAAGTGAACGAGCGAGCAAGTGAGTGAACAGATGAGAGAACACTTAATCGAGCGAGTGAATGACCGAGCGAATATGTGACTGATAACGAAGTGAGCAAACTAATTAATTCATGAAGGAGCAAGCAAGCGAGCAGGGAAGTGAAGCAGCAGGCAACAGGGAAACATCGTGAACAGACGAGTGAACAAATAAGCGAGCATATGAACAAACGAGCGGGCAAGCGAGTTAGGGGAGCAGCACGGCCTCAACCGCGATGTTGCTGCTGCCGCACCTTCGCACGCGACGCTGTGCTCGCACGGCAAGAAGCGCACCAGCGGCGCCACCTCGTTGCACACCAGGCACTCGGCGTGCTCCACCACCGCCATCGCCGCCATCGCCGCCGCCACCACAACCGTCGCCGGGGGCTGCTGGGGCGACGGCGCCACCATGGCCAGGTTGGTGATGGTGTTGGTCGGGTTGGGAGGGGGCGCGCGGCGCGGGCTGGGTGCGTGGGTCCCGGCGAGACACTGCAGCGGCGGCCCCGCCGACGGCCCCGCCGAAGGCCCCGCCGAGGGCCCCGCGCCGCTACCGACGAGCGTGACCTCCCGCCGAGCCTGCTGGGCCCTGTGGGAGAGACGAGCCGCGTGACTGTGCCAGTAGTGGTCTTTGTGTGTGTCTGTGTGTGTCTGTGTGTGTCTGTGTGTGTCTGTGTGTGTGTGTGTCTGTGTGTGTCTGTGTGTGCGTGTGTCTGTGTGTGTGTGTCTGTGTGTGCATCTGTGTGTGTCTGTGTGTGCATGTGTCTGTGAGTCTGTGTGTGCGTGTGTGTCTGTGTGTGCACGTGTGTGCGTGTGTGTCTGTGTGCATGTGTGTCTGTGTGTGCGTGTCTGTATGTCTGTGTGTCTGTGTGTGTCTGTGTGTCTGTGTGTGCGTGTGTCTGTGTGTGTCTGTATGTCTGTGTGTCTGTGTGTGTCTGTGTGTCTGTGTGTGTCTGTGTGTCTGTGTGTCTGTGTGTGTCTGTGTGTGCGTGTGTCTGTGGGTGCGTGTGTCTGCGGGTCTGTGTGTGCGTGTGTCTGTGTGTGCGTGTGTCTGTGTGTGCGTGTGTCTGTATGTCTGTGTGCGTGTGTGCGTGTGTCTGTGTGTGTGTCTGTGTGTGCGTGTGTCTGTGTGTGCGTGTGTCTGTGTGTGCGTGTGTCTGTGTTGTGTCTTTTGTGTGTGTGCCTTTTTCTTTGTGCTTAAGGCGGCCGGGCGTGGCGCTGGCCACCCACCCCCTTTGTGTGCCACAGTGCCGATCTTCATCGGTGCTGCTCGCTAACAGCACTTGCCCCTACAGCCTGTTGTCTTTGTGTGTGTCCGTGTGTCTTTGTGCTTAAAGCGTCTGGGAGTGGTGCTGGCCGCCTACTTGCCCCAAAAGTATGTAAAGGCTACACACGGGGATATTTGTTTTTGTGTGTGTCTGTGCATCTTTGTCTTTAAAGGCTACACGGGGGGGGCGGGGGGGGGGGACACCTTCGCCCATCGCACCAGTCAGCGAAGTCCTTGAGCAGCTGCGCCAGGCGGGGGTCGTGCACGAGGTCGAGCGGCGCCTTCCCGCGCACGTTGGGCAGCGCGATGTCGGCGCCCTCCTGCGCCAGGAAGCAGGCGATGGCAGCGCCCGTCGTCGGGTCCGTGGGGCCCAGCAGCCCCGTGCTCTTCAGCTGCACACAGGGACGGGAGATCCCCCACAACGCTGTAGCCGGGCATTGTTAGCGAACGCCTGTTAAGGCTGGCGCTGCGCACGGACGTGGCGATGCGGTTGAACGCCACGCTCGGCCACCTTTGTCTTCCCACTGCTGGAGGTTACACACGGCACCGAGCACTCATTTGTTGAACTGCTTTCCCTCCGTACGTAGCCAAGCAGGCAAATCGGAGGTGCGGGCTAGGGGAGAGGGTGGCCCCAGGACCGGTTCAGACATTCGTCACCGACGTTGGCTGAGAGCAAGACTCGAACTCGGGTCGCGCCGGGTTCGCAGCGTGGTGCGCTATCCCTTCCCATGCCCCGCACCTCCAACGAACACGGCTGGGCTACGTACGGTGCGATAGAAGTTCAACGTACAACAACAAAAACAAAGATTCCCCGTATCGCCTCAACAGACTGTTGGGGCAAGTGCTGTTAGCGAGCACCTATGAAGGCCGGCATGGCACACGAGGGAGGAAGTGGCCAGTACCACCACCAACCGCCTTTGCTTCCCCGGTGGCGATGTTTACATACCGAACTAGGTACTTATTTGAGGCTGAGTCTACCTAGGGGAAGCTCAGGACCGGTTTAGTTATTCGTCACTGATGTTGGCCATGAGCGGGAATTTAACTTGGGTCGCCAGGTTTGTAGCGCAGCACGCTAACCGCTACGCTACCGCTCCCGACAACAACAAACACGTGCGCACACACGCACATGTACATTGCACAAGCACTAGCGTATGCGCGAGGAAACTCCACGGATCCCCGCAAGTCACCGTCTCCCCAGCGGCTCACCCGGTTGACGAGCGAGTCGTTGGCGGCGCGAGCCGAAGACTGGGCGCACTGCCCAGCGCCGGCCGCACCGGCGGCACCGCCACTGCCCGACCCTCCAGCGACTCCGACGACCCCTGCGGGCACCACGGCCACATGCGTGCGGCCCAGCGCGAGGTGCAGCGCCGTGTCACCGTCCTCATCACGCGCGTTCACGTCGCAGCGCTCCGCCACCAGCAGCTGCACCAGCTCGACGTGGCCCTGCAGCACGGCGAGCAGCAGCGGCGTCTGCGCCCGGTTCGTCCGCACGTCCACGTCGCACTGGCCCTGGGCGCGCCGCGGCGGGGGAGGGAACGGGGTGGGGTTCGAGACGGTGTGAGCGCGGGCGGAGCCGTTGGTGCCACCGCCGCCACCGCCGTGGAACCTCGTCGCAACATAACGCGTTCTACGCACCCCCCCCCACCCCCGCCAGATCCCCCAGCTCCTGTGCAGGAGACAAGCGGCGACCTCCAAGATCTGCCCTGACCGTATCCATCCTGACCTTAGATAGACTCAGAGACCCACAAACTCGCACAGAGACCCACAGACTCACACAAAGACCCATAGACTCACGTGAAGACCCACATAGAGACCCACAGACTCACACAAAGACCCATAGACACACACAAAGAGACCCACAGACTCACATAGAGACCCACAAACGTACATTGAGCACCACAGATTTATATATAGATCACAGACTCACATAGAGAACCACAAACTCACATATAGAGCCACAGACTCACAGACACCCACAGACTTACAGAGACCCACATACTCACACAGAGGACCACAGACTCACATAGAGACTCACCGACTCATATAGAGACCCACAGGCTCACAGAAACCTACAAACTCACATATAGACACACAAACTTACACAGAGACCCACAGATTCACACAGAAACCCACAGACTTACAAAGAGGCCCACAGACTCACATAGAGACCCACTGACTCACAGAGACCCGATAGGTCTGTCCTAACAGCATCCCCACAATCTGGTCGTCAGTATTTTCTTTCCCTCGGTCGCCAGACTCGTGGAGACCGCTTGAATGTCCAATCTCGGTAAATCGGCTCTCACCCATCCTGCACGCACGTCTCACGCAGCGCTGCCGCGATTGTGCACACGCACGTATGGATGTTGAACTTCTTTCACACCGTACGTAGCCAACCGTGCTAAATGCAAGTGAGGTTGCCAAGCCTTATCTCCAACACTTACCACCCCTGCCCCATTCTCTGCTGCACGTCTGCACTGCTCATCCTATCTTGCCAAGATATTCCTCACATCTGTCTCAGACACCTGCGGTCAAAGGCTTGCTCTTCTTTTTTCTACAGTAATAATAATTTAAAGTTATAAAGCGCCCTTAAACAATCGTTCTCAGAGCGCTAATCCAGAGTCGTACAGATGGAGGAAGTGGAAGGTTCACAGTGGCCGTGTCAGAGACACCAAGCCGGCACAAACTGCCACTAGAGTCCTGCATCACGGCCAGGAATCGAACCCGCATGACACTTTGGCAATAGGCCACGCCAAGGGATCGTGGGGGTTGTCCACCCACCCCATGATGCCTGGGGCTGGGTGTCTCTCTTTCTCGCCGAATGATTCACAATGGCCGTGTCGGCTGACACTCGGCCGGCACCAAGCTCACACCCGCCGAGGTCGTGTGACGGCCAGAATATCGAAGCTGCGTCATTGAGGAGGCACGCGGAGGGGCAACCCACCTCTGCAACGAGGAGGCGGGCGACCTCTTGATGGTTGTTGAGGGCGGCGAGGTGTATGGGGGCGAAGCCGTCATCCTTCTTGACATCCACCAGCTGCCGCGCGCGACCCAGGATCTTGTGCGTGGCTCTGTGGTGCGCGGAGGGTCGGAGGGTCTCAAGTTGAGAACTCAAGAGACCAGGTTGTACGAGTGGCATGGCTCGAACGTCAGGGTCAGCAGTCAGGGTCACAAGACGTGCGTGCCACCTATGTGCAGACGCTCACCCAATCACACCCGCTAACACACAAAGACCAAGATCCCCCGTATAACCTGTTGGGGCAAGCGGTGTTAGGGTGCACCTATGAAGGCCGGAAAGGCACATGAGGGGGTGGGTGGCCAGCACCGCATCCAGCCACCTTTGTCTCCCCAGTGCTGGTGTTGACACACCGCACCAAGTGCTCATTTAAGGCTTAGTCGACCTAGGAGAGACCCAGAACTGGTTCAAATATTCGTCAATTGTGTTGACCGTGAGCGGGGATCGAATCGGGTTACCGGGTTCGTAGCACAGCACGCTAACCGCTGCACTACCGCTCCCTACAAAGACAAAGAACCCTGTAAAGCCTTAACATACTGTTGGAGCAGATGCTGTTAGCGAGCAGCTATGAAGGCCGGAACGGCACACGAGGGGGTGGGTGGCCAGCACCACGCCCGGCCGCCTTTGTTTCCCTAGTGGCGATGTTTACTATACACCGCACCAGGTCCTCATTTGAGGTTGAGTCGACCGAGGGAAAGCCCAGGACCGGTTAAAATTATCTTCACTGGTGTTGGCCGCGAGCGGGAATTGAACTCGGTTCGCTGGGTTCACAGCGCAGCGCGCTTATCGCTACACTACTGCTCCCCACACACACACTCACACACGCACGCACACAACAACCGCCATTCGCCACTAAGTGCCAGTGACGTCACATCACTTGTGCCAGAATATGTGCACGTTAAGGCCCGCTGGCAGGAGGTCACGGGACAGACCCAGATGCCATGGGTTGACTGACTGAAATGACTGGCCGATGTACCACCTGTGCCCCCGACTGTGTCAATTTGCTGCGTTGTAGCCGCCTGGCACTCGTTGTGAGCACCGTTCCTATGCTCTCTGTTGTTGCTGGAGGGCGACTGCCCCAAACTGCCCAGTAGCGTCATTCATGGGAATGCGGGCTACATGACCCAGCCAACACAGCCCTGCCTGCCAGAGAAACTCACTTCGTGTGGAGTGACAGACCACGTAGCGTCCACACAGCAGCGTTACATAGGCAATGAAAAGGTAATGCTGCTTGACTGATTCGGAATGAGACCTTTGCTGCCCAGGTATGGACAGTGTGCTCATAACATTCGCACGCACAAATACACGCACGCACACAAACGCACTCATGTTCACACACGCACTCCCTCACTCGTCAACTCACATGGCACTGCCCTTAAGTGCCGCCTGGTGGAGCAAGTTGAAGCCGCGGCGGTTGCGCAGAGAGAAGTCAGCGATGGGCACGGCGCTCAGCTGCTCCACCACGTCACGGTGGTCGCGCGAGATCGCCTCGTGCAGCGGTGTGTCGCCGTCCACGTCCTGGCCGCACCACCGCCGGCGGGTGACAGAGGGGGGGGGGGGGGGGCATGGGATCACGAAAGGAGTGAGGGGAAGAGGCGTGGGTGGCACAGTGTAGGGACGTAAGGGGCATGGGTGAGAATTTGGACAAGGGGCCAAACCCATAGCTCCATTCACGTTTGCGTCCGTTTGTCTTTCTATTCGCTCGTGTTTCCTGTTCGTCTCTCCACCTGTCTGTCTCCATTCATCCACCTGTGTATCTGTCCGTCTCTATTCATTCGTCTGTTCACTAACCAGTCCGTCCGTGTGCGTCTGTCAGGTCTGTCCACGTAGCTGCGCGCATCTGTCTTGGGGGTCCTTGCCACTCACCTGCGCGTTGACGTCGGCTCGGTGAGCCAGCAGGGCCATCACCACGTCCGTGTGCCCGATGCTCGCCGCCACGTGCAGTGCGGTGGTGCTCGCTTTGTTGGCCGCGTCCACGTTCGCACCGGCGCCCAGCAGCGCCGTCGCCGCCGCCGCGCGGTTGCTGCGTGGGGGTGAAGGGGAAGGTCATTAACAAGCGCCCACTGAGGCCGGCACCACACGACACGCCACGACACGAGTGTTGTCCTGGCAAGGCCAAACCCAAGCCACGTCGCCACTGCGTGGCGGTCGGCATAGTATCGGACTCAACTCGGACACGCAGTGAACCGTCAGCTCCTTCCCTGATCTGTCCTGCCCACTTTGACATAGCCCTGCCCACTCGGTCACCAGCACCGCCCACTTTGACGTAGCCCTGCCCACTCGGTCACCAGCACCGCCCACTTTGACGTAGCCCTGCCCACTCGGCCACCAGCACCGCCCACTTTGACGTAGCCCTGCCCACTCGGTCGCCAGCATCGCCCACTTTGACGTAGCCCTGCCCACTCGGTCACCAGCACCGCCCACTTTGACGTAGCCCTGCCCACTCGGTCGCCAGCATCGCCCACTTTGACGTAGCCCTGCCCACTCGGTCGCCAGTACCACCCACTGCTCAGGTAGCCCTGCCCACCGCTCAGTCAGCTCCGCCCTTTTCCCAAGTCGTCGCGAGTGGAGCATGAGGCCAGAACATTTTAAACCGCCAATGAAGGCAGATTTTCACAGGAGCTTCAGGACACCGGGAGAGGTTTACTGAATCCACTGGGACTGTCTCAGCCAAAACGGGCCATTTGGTAATTTTCAATTAACCAGGCCCCATCAATCCTAACTTTCCTAATCAGACAGAGTCAGTGGCCCATGTATTACTAGTTATCTTAACCTGGTCTAGTTGAAACCCAAGACAGTCCAAATTTAGAGTATTTGGCTGCTATAAATGACCACGTGAGGATAAGCCACTTTGATGAGTTATCATTTCTGATAAACAAGGTCGCTTCTGAAAAAGAGCTACATTGCTCAGTGGTCCTTATCTGGATAAAAAAATAGTTTTAGTTTAGTTTATTCTCAGTAAAGTCAGGTTTCTTTTTCAAATCAGCCCCTGTCAGTCTCCAGGTGTTCCTAAGCAACTGCGAAGCAGTTCTAGTCTCGGCCTCTTACACTCTGGCTCAGCTATGGTTCAGCCTCTATCACTCAGGCTCAGCTCTGGCTCAGAACACTCAAGCTCAGCTCCGGCTCGGCCTCTAACACTCAGGCTCAGCTTTGACTCGCCCTCTAATACTCAGGGCTCAACTGTGGCTCAGCTTCGGCTCAGATTCTAATACTCAGGGCTCAACTGTGGCTCAGATTCTCACACTCAGGTTCAGCTATGGTTCAGCCTCTAATACTCAGCTCTGGCGCGAACTGCTCGGTGGTTTCCAAAGACTGCGTGAGTGAGCGCCTCAGCTGTGGCTCGGGGCTCATGCTTGTAAGAATCCTGAGCACGGCTGGGACCGTGCTCAGAGCTAGCTCAAGTGAAGCGTGGTGGCTCTGAGCCGACTCACTGCAGCCAGAGCCAATCCTGAGCCGAGCCGCGACTAATAATATCGGGGCCGTCCTTCGTCTTCCCGGCGGTGCCCCCATTGCCATCTCCCCCGCCTGCCGGCCCGCCCACACAGTGGGGATCAGAGCCGGCGGAGCGGCACTCACCCGAAGGCGGCGTAGTGCAGCGCAGCATCACCCTCGTCGTCGCGCACGTCTGTGCGGGCCCCCGCGCGGAGCAGGGCGTCCAACAGGGCCCCGTGGCCCGCGAAGGACGCCACCTGCAGTGCAGTCTTGCCCTGGCTCCGTCCGTCCACCTGCAGGAAGACAAAGACCCCCCGAGTAGCCTTAACAGACTGCTGAGGCAAGTGCTGTTAGCGAATAGCATCCGTGAAGGCCGGCGCTATGGCAGACGAGGGGGTAGGTGGCGATGTTTAGGCCCAGGACCAGTTTAAATAATGTTGTATTTGGTTTACTCTCTAACACACGACCGGTGTGCTGAACTAGTAACGGCATTGGCACACTTTGTTTACGTGACAAACTCCTAACTAAATAGCTGTGGCGGGTGGTAGTGGGTTTAACGACAATAATATTTACACAATCTTCAAACACCTATTGGAATAGTGAGTGGGAGAAGGAGGAAAGAGAGGAGAGGGAGGATGTAGGAGGAGGAATCGAATTCGGGTCGCCGGGTTCGTAGCGCAGCGCGCTAACCCGCTGCACTCCCGTTCCCAACATACTCACATAAAAGACAAAGATCCCCTGTATAGCCTTAACAGACTGTAGGGGCAAGTGCTGTTAGTGATCACCGTTGAAGGCCGGAACGGTACACGAGGGGGTGGGTGGCCAGCACACATATACAAAGAAAACAAAGATCCCCCGTTTAGCCTTAACAGACTGTAGGGGCAAGTGCTGTTAGCGAGCACTGCCTCTGCTTATATTCACATATACACACACGCACACACATACGTACACACAAACACAGACACACGTGTACTACTAAAACAACAACAGCCACCGTTCGTTACCGAGTGGCGGCAATGTCGCCACGGTGCTTGTGCCAGGCTAGGTACACTCTGAGGCCGTTGCGTGATGTGCAGAAGCCTCGTTGGCAGGATGTCACGGGGATGTGACCGAGTGAGATGGCTGGCAAATGCATCACCTCTGCCCTCCACTGTACAAGCTTGCTGTGTTATGGCCGCATGGCGCTCCGCTAAACTGGCGCGGCATGGGCTAGAGAATAGATGGAGTGATGTGGTACAGGAAGATGTGGAGCTGAGTGAACTTGCCGATTACTGGTACCAGTGGTGTCAAGATCGGCCTCTGTTGAAGAGGCTTGTGAAGGACACTACTGGGCAGTTGGAGGCAGTCGCCCTCCAACAGCAACGGAGGGCGGAGAAGCAACGCTCACAACAATGAGCGGAGCACCGGATGGCTAAAGCACAGCAAGTTGGCGCAGTAGGGGGCACAGGTGGTGCATCAGCCAGTCATCTCAGTTAGTCGAGCCGTGGCACCTGGGTCTGCCCCGTGACCTCCTGCCAGCGGGCATTCGACACTTCACGTGGCCTCAACGTGCACATAGCCTGGCACAGGCGTCATGGTGACGTCACTGCCACTTAGTGGTGAATGGCGGTTGTTGTGTTTACTTGTGTATTTATTTGTGTGTGTGTATATGTGAGCGTGTGTGTGCGTGTGTATGTTTGTGTGGCTCACCTTGTCTGGAAATCGCTGCAGAATCTCCACGACCCTGCCCAAGTTGCCGAGCGACGCCTCGCTCACCAGCTCCGACACGCCGCTGCTGTCCTCTGTGGCCACTCCGTGCACCGCCATGCCGTCCTTCTGGCACACCATGGCTGCCCCTGCGCCACCACCACCACGGCGCACATGCACGCCGCTCCTGGTTCGACTCCTTGCCGTGGCTCAAAGCTAGACGGTCAAACGATTGACCGATTCCTCTCCACTGAATGTCAGTGCGGGTGTAGGCATGCGTGCAGGCATACGTGTGTGTCTGTTTATATGTATGTGTAATAAACGACTTCCACGACGATCTTTGTCAGAGTGCTTCTTTATTAACTGTGGTACTGTATAGCTCCGCTCCCCCGGTTTCGCCGTTGGCTGACGGCGTGCCGGAGAGAAGAGACGAGCTTCGCTGGGGAACCCGCCACGTGGTCGGTGGCGCAGAGAGGAGTTGACGAGCAGCGACGCAGCTCAGCCGGGGTGAATATAAGCCTCTGCTTATATTCACCCCGGCTGAGCTAGGTTCCGCCTCTAGCCACGCCCCCTCGAGGAACCTTCCCGATGGTTCCCAAAGCATCCTTCCCGACTCCGCCCGTCACTTTTGGCCCAGATGTTATTCCCTCTTAGGATTGGATGCCGATTACATAATAGTGCCTGTACCCAGTTACCCTCTGGCACCCCACCCTCTCATTACATCACCACCCCCCCCTTAATAAAAAGACTAGCCATCCCGGCTAGAGATAAAACCCATATAAGTGTAGTGGCTAATAAAACTGGAGGAAGCTTACTCTGAGGCAACACATTTATTACTACACCAACAGACTACAATACAAAGGGGTAATGGCCCCTTCCACCTGAACTCTATGTAGGGAGTCCCCCGGACTAGCTCGCCTCTTACTGGCAATCACTGCGCCTACACTGCTGTGGCTTGAGTCTTCTCTTGAGTCTTCACTGGTTATAAGCTGGAGCTCTCACTGGTACGAGCTCGAGCCGACCCTAGCCAGGGGTTCGGCTCTGCCCATTGGGCTCTTCTCTTCAGGGCTCCAGGTGAGGCTCTTCGGTCTTCAGCCGGACGATGACGGAGCTGGACACTCGGGGACCTGGCTTTTATACAGGATCCCGGGTCACTCCACCCCTGGCCACGCCTCCCTTCCAGAACCTTCTCCAAGGGCCTGGAAAATGACCTCATCCCCCAGCCCCCTGCCTGGGGTCTGGGGTCCCGACCGTTGGTCACGATGCTCCCCCCTAGGGATTGCCTAGGGCCAATAGCCCATCATCACTATTTAGCCGGTCCGGCCTCTCTGCTGCTCCCTACTGGCACGAGCTAGTACTGCCCGCATCAGTCGGAAAAACAGATTCCTTCGGGCGTTCATTCCGTAACCGCATCTCCCCCGGTCCGTTGGACACATTAGACCCAGGCAGTCCAATTTTTCAAGGTGAAGGCGCAATTCGCGGAGGGATAAACGGTTTCAACCAAGAGGGGTGGACGAACCAATGCCGGCGGCCTGCCCGGATACGCACACACTGCGGACGTTTGATCTCGACCACCTCCACTGGGCCATGCCAGGGCTTATGTAACTTAGGGGAGGTGCCAACATGCACCTGAGATCAATGTAGCCAAGCCTTGTCACCAATGGACCATGACATGTCACGGTCAGACCTGCGCGCATAACGTTCATTGCGCGCCTGCGTCTTGGCGGTGTTCATCCTAGCCGCCTCCCGGGCCTCGGAAACACGACGCAAGGAATCGCGAACATGTTCTGGCAGTTTAGATTTAACGTTATCAATCAGTGCTCCCAATTGGGTATCGAGAGGGGGAACTTTTTCCCACCCATACATAAGGAAAAATGGCGAGAATCCCATAGAAGCGTGCAGGGCCACCTATACGCAGCAAGCACGCTCGACACATGTAAATCCCAATCAGCTTGCTTGGCATCCACCGTCTGACAAAGCATGGCGGACAAAGTCCTGTTCAGACGTTTGACCTTCCCATCTGTCTGAGGGTGGTACGGCAACGTCCTGATTTTCTTAGTGCCCAATGCGTCGCAGACCTTGCGCAACAACTTAGAGGAGAAGTTCCGACCTTGGTCCGTAAGCAGCTGTTCGGGAGCACCTTTGTCCATTACATACCCGTACAAAAACGCGTCGGCTATGGAAGCCGCTGACTGATCCGGCAGCGGCCAAACCATCGGCCATCGAGAAAAATATTCCACACCCACCAAAAGGAATGTGTTACCCCTGGAAGTGACCAGAAAGGGCCCAAGGACACCGAGTGCCACCAGTTCGTTAATACGCGAAACCGAAATAGATTGCAGCGGCGGATGACATTCTGCTGCGGCGGTTTCCTCTGAGCACATTCCGTACAAAATTGAATCAATTTGGAAACATCGGCTGTCATCCCCGGCCAATAATAATCACGCTGAAACGTAAACAAGGATTTATGGACCCCAAGGTGCTACAACTTCTCCTCGTGCAGAGCGCGTACAAAGCCGTTATGGAGGGCAACGGGAACAAATCGCCAGCGATCCAGCATTTCCTCCCTCCACATCAAAAGGCCGACGTGAAGAATCAACCAGCCCCCTTCACTCGAAGCGGGTCCGGCCTAACGCCGCAAACTCCCTAAGTAGTCATCCAGGAGCTGCTCGAGCACCCACACGGAGCGCGGAAGCTGCAACATGCTGTCAACCGACGCATCTGCGTCCAGAGGTGTCGAATCGGCTACGGCAGACATGACAGTACGCGGTCGTGACACAACGGGTCCACGACGGCTCGTCCCCGACAAACAAGGGCAATGAGGCGACTGCGGCAATCGCGACAAGGCATCCGCGTTGCAATGTCGAGAACCCTTACGATACACCACGCTGAAAGAGAACTCCTGTAAAATCTCGAGCCAACGAGAGAGTTGGCCAGCTGGCTGCTCGACTTTCAAGGAATATTGGAGGGCCGCATGATCAGTGCAGACCACAAATTCCCTGCCATAGAGGAAAGGCCTGTATTGCCGGACAAAATAAACAACGGCCAAGAGTTCTCTCCGGGTGACACAATAACGACTTTTCGCCGGGGAAAGGACACGGCTGCCGTACGCGACCACCTTCTCAACACCGTTTTAACTTGAGATAGAACGGCGCCGATGCCCGTGTCGCTAGCGTCGGTGTCTAGGATAAATGGCAGTGAAAAATCTGGATACTCGAGCGTGGACGCGTCCGACAATCGTTCGCGGAGGGCTAAAAACACCCCATTTAAATCTCTGATTTTTAGCAGTTAACGCATGCAAGAGTTTAGCGACCGTAGCAAATGCGGCACAAACCTACGGTAATAACGCAAATCCGACGAAACTGCGCACATCACCCACACACGTGGGGGTCGGCCAAGCGCGAACACAGGCCGTTTTTTCCAGGTTCGTGGCGATGCCCTCAGAGCTGACAATGTGACCCAAATAACACACAGAATTTTGCAGCAAGTGACATTTAGCCGGTTAAAATTTCAAGTTAGCAGAGCGCATTCTATCGAAAACGGAGCGCAACCGGCGAAGATGTTCGTCAAAAGTGCGGCTAAAAACAATAACATCGTCTAAGTAAATGAGATCAGTGTCCCACTGTAGGCCGGTCAAGACGAGCTCCATCAGCCGCTGAAAGGTAGCCAGAGCCAAATTCAAGCTCATCGGAAGGCAATTGAATTGAAAGAGTCCCCAAGGCATGCGGAACGCAGTTTTCGGCTTCGACGAGTCGTCCAGGGGCAGTTGCCAAAACCCCGAAGACAAATCGAGAGTGGAGAAATATCGCGCCCTGGACAAAGAGTCCAGACAGTCGTCCATGCACGGGAGCGGATATGCGTCGGCTACCGAAACTTTGTTCAACTTGCGGAAATCAACGCTGAGGTTACCAACCTTCTTCATGACAACAACAATGGGCGCACCCCAAGGGCTGTTAGACGGGAAAATAATATCGGTGGTCAGCATGTCGTTGACCGCTCGTTGCACGCATTCCTTCTCCACCGGGCTCAACCGGTGACGAATAGGACTGGCCTCACCCATATCAATGTGGTGAGACGACAGGGATGTACGACCTAGATCGAATTCATTCTTACTAAATATGTATGAAAACTCGCATAGAAGTGAACGCAATCTGTTCCGTTGCTCGGAAGACAAGGAGGAGTTTTCCCCGCACAACGTAGCAGCCCATCGATCATCCGCAATGTGACAAGGGTGAGCCGCTCCCACCAATTGCCGCGGGTCAACCTCGTCGTGGTCCGAAAACGCGGTGGTGGCGTAAGCCAACACTGTACCAGCGGGAACTACAACAGCGTCCGGGCCCCCGTTAAGAACCTGCAAGAGCGGGGCTTGCCCGGAGCGAAGGATGGTCTGTGCACCGACTAGAGCCAGACCCCGGGTCGCAGTATTAGATGGGGTCAGAAGGACCCCAGCCGTCGAATCAACACATCGGATTCCCTTACGATAACGCAACAGCACAAGCATTTGGTATCGGCAAAATCTCGACCCTGGCATTAACAAGGGCTTGTACAGCAGCGCTCGGTGAAGAACTCAACAACGGCAATGGCAAAAAAACCAACTTGCGACCCGAGGGCATTTCCAAGCAACCCTGATCTACCAGGATCTTAACGGGCATCCTTCTAAGTAAATCAGTACCAAGCAAGCAGGGCACAGCCAACGACCTAGAAATCAGAACCGGTCCCGATACGGCCACATCACCGATGACAACGCGGGCTTCCACCTGCCCAATGATGAATTAGGCCAACCCCAAGTAACCGAACCCGATTGCATGGTGTCAGCAAACGAATCATGCTGTGAACGAACGAACCCCGTGTCATGAGATGCATTAGGTTGCGAAATGGGCCGGGTGTCCAACGTGTACCGACTTGCCTGTGGAGGTTGAGCCGTCGGAGGAGCAGCAGGAGCCGAAGCAGCAGCCAAAGTCGAAGATCGAGGGCGACTCCGGCATTCCCTCGCGAAGTGTCCCAGCCGGCCGCATCGGTAGCAGGCTACGGACGGCCTTTGAGCCCCCCAGACCTCACGCTGACGTGGTCCGTCGAACCATTGACGACGTGCAGTGTCGCCCCATCTTCGATTCCACGGAGGAACCGCAGCAGCGAAATCACCTTTAGAGGACGTGTCAGGAGGCGGAATCTCGACGACTTTGGTCAGCGACCACCCTTCAGTTCCCGTCCCGATTAGGGTCGCCCGTCCGTGCCGCCATCTGAGACCAGCGCTGCCAGCTCTCGTGAGCGTGAAGACATCTGGCGGCCCAACGGGATGATTGTACATCGTGGACACACGCAGGCAAAACCACCCCCCATGACCCTCGCCAGAGCCAGCAAACGGTCCATAACAAGCGGCATACGCCCCTTGTAAAGTTGCCTTCTTCTCCGGAGAGATCGACCTGAACACCGCCAGGGCGTCGTCATCTAACACAGTCTGTAAAGCGACGAGCGCCTCCTCCTCCGACCAGCGCACCGAACGAAATGCCGCCTCAAACCTCCAAGTGAAGGCGCTCCAGTCGCCGCCGGCCGTGACGAATTCTTTAACACGAGGGAGTCGTCGGGTGCGATCGGCACCGCCTCGTCCCACCTCGCACCTCGCACACCACGCGGCCCGTCCAAAATGGCAGGCTCCGACCGCGCCTTCGCGGCTCCGTCCAAAATGGCGGCGTCTTACACGTGGCGTCCTCGGCGCGTGTAATTGCGGACGTCTCTTCAGCGCCTGTAATGGCGGACGTCGCCTCTGCAGGAGAACCCGCCGAGACTCCAGCCTCGGACCTCCGATCGCCATCCCCCGGCGATGCTTCAGGTGGACGCCCCGCCACCGTAGACATCGCAACGAGCGACACCAACTGAAGGAGAACCGTCCGCAGCGACTCTAGCTGCTCCTCCACCCTCCTCCAGCCGTCTTCGGCTCGCTGGGGCGGAGATGCTGCGGCCGCGCCGACCGCCTCCGGTGCAGCGACCTCACAAGCCGTGGTTCCTGTGACCGGGACCACGGATCCCCGCCTCATTGTCATCGGAAGACGCTACAGGTGGGTTCTTCTTCTTCTATTGAAGGACCACTTCTGACTCCAATGTAATAAACGACTCCCACGACGATCTTTGTCAGAGTGCTTCTTTATTAACTGTGGTACTGTATAGCTCCGCTCCCCCGGTTTCGCCGTTGGCTGGCGGCGTGCCGGAGAGAAGAGACGAGCTTCGCTGGGGAACCCGCCACGTGGTCGGTGGCGCAGAGAGGAGTTGACGAGCAGCGACGCAGTCCGGACCCAAGGCTCCCCACACCGACCACGAGTCCTCCCCTGCCTCTGCTTATATTCACCCCGGCTGAGCTAGGTTCCGCCTCTAGCCACGCCCCCTCGAGGAACCTTCCCGATGGTTCCCGAAGCATCCTTCCCGACTCCGCCCGTCACTTTTGGCCCAGATGTTATTCCCTCTTAGGATGGGATGCCGATTACATAATAGTGCCTGTACCCAGTTATCCTCTGGCACCCACTGGATGGCGCACTCATTACATATGAATGTGGAGTGGTAGTGTAGCGGTTAGCACCGAGTTCGATTCACGCTCATGGCCAACACCTCCCCTAGGTCGACTCAGCCTCAGATGAGCACCTGGTGCGCTGTGTAAACATCGCCACTAGGCAGACAAAGGTGGCCAGGCATGGTGCTGGCTAGCCACCCACCGCCTTGTGTGCCGTTCTGGCGTTTATAAGTGCTCGGTAACAGCACTTGCCCCAACAGTCTGTTCAGGCCATATGGGGAATCTTTGTGTTTGTTGTTGTGCGTGCACATGCGTGCGTGTACGTGTGTGCGTGTGCGTATGTGGGCGTGTGTGTGCGCACGTGCGATGGTGCCCGTGCCACCCACCCTCCCTATGCTCCGTGGACATGAGGTTGTTGGCATCGACGTCTCCGAGTCTCACAGCGCTCGCGCACAGCGCATTGAACGTCCACACCTTGTCCCGCACACACACACGCAGGTCCCCGTCCGTGTACACCTTCACCACCTGTCCCACCTGCCCCACCGCCTGTCGACACACACACACCAACAAAATAACGAACCCCAAATAGCTTTCAATAGCTGTGACGGGTGGTGGTGGTGGGTTTAACGACAAATATATTTACACAATCTTCAAACACCTATTGGAATAGTTAGTGGGAGAAAAGGGAGGAAAGAGAGGAGAGGGAAGTAGTAGGAGGGTTCGTAGCGCAGTGCGCTAAACGCTGCACTCCCGTTCCCAACATACACACATAAAAGACAAAGATCCCCCGTATAACCTTAACTGTTGAGGCGAGTGCTGTTAGCGAGCACCTATGAAGGGTGGAACGGCACACGAGGGGGTGGGTGCCGAGCACCACGGTCGGCCGCCTTCGTCTCCACCGTGGCGATGTTCACACATCGCACCATGTACTCATTTGAGGCACACACTAGTCACACACACACGTACAGATCCCCCCTGTCGCCTTTAGTAGACTACAGAGTTACTGTGTTGTTACGGTGATACTACTACAGTGATAGGATGTATCGTAGTATCACTTTGTTACGGTGATATTACGATACATTGTACAACATGAAAATCCACAATGGTACTGTCCATTTAGCAAAGCAATCATGCTTACACAATTCTGACAAAATACAAACAGGCGATAACTCCTGGAGCGATGAACGGGGTTTGCGATGGTGATTACAACGTCCTAACCTCACAACCGCCCGCCGAGTGTGGGGCGGCACTCATTTCCAAAGCCCGTTGGTGGAAATTCCACGTTGCCATGACAGGGGCTGTTGGGAGGAACTGACCGTTCGCATGGCCTCGTTCCACTCGCCGTGGCCGACCTGGAGCTGCTTCACGCGATCCTCGTCGTCCAGCACGCGCACAAGGTCACCAACGCTGAACGTGTCCACCTGACGGCACGCACGGTGAGGAGACATTGTGCACACACGTATGTGTGTGTGTCTGTGCAAGTGTGTGCACGTGTGTGTGCACGTGTGTGTGCATGTGTGTGTGCAAGTGTGTGTACGTGTGTGTGTACGTGTTGACACAGTAGGGGGCACAGGTGGTGCACCAGCCAGTCATCTCAATCGACCCGTGGCACCTGGGTCTGCCCCGTAACCTCCTGCCAGCGGGCGTTCGACACTTCACGTGGCCTCAAGGTGCACATAGCCTGGCACAAGCGTCGTGGTGACGGCACCGCCCCTTAGTGGCAAATGGCGGTTGTTGTTGTTGTGAACTTGTGGATTCGCAAGTGTGTTTGCACGTGTGGGGAGCGGTAGTGTAAGCGGATAGCGCCCTGTGCTACGAACCCGATGACCTAGGTTCGATTCCCGCTCACGACCAACACCAGTGACGATTATCCGAACCGGTCTTGGGTCTTCCCTCGGTCGACTCAGCCTCAAATGAGTACCTGGTGCAATCACCACTCGGGAGACCAACGTGGTTGGGCATGGTGCTGGCCACTCACCCTCTTGTGTGCCATGCCGGTCTTCATCACGTGAACTCTGGTCATCAATGCAGCGGTTTTTGGCTAGCCATTGAACAAAGACGGTCACTGCATCGTGCGATTTCAGATGCGCTTCTGCAACCATCTCGAACGCCAATTTAGCTATGCGCTTTTAAATTTTGATTGAAAACTCCGATTAGCATGTTTGGTTACGTACGGTGAGAAAGAAGTTCAACATACATACATATGTAGTGACATAGAATGGGTTACTAGGGTGCGTAGCGCTGGTTACTGATAGAGAGCGGGATTATGGGTGTATTAGCCCGGTCCACCAGCAGGGCAGGTGAAATGTGCCACTGGAGCGCGTAGCGCCGGTTGCTGGCAGAGATGGGGGATCTGAGGACACAGCAGCCGGTCTGCCAGCAGGGCACGTGATAAGCCGGGGTTAGGGATGTAGGGTAAAGGTGACAGAGGGGACACGTGGGGCGAAGCCCAGAGCCTTCTGGTAGGTTTCAGAAGGGGGCGTGGCCGTGGGCGGAGCCAGGCCACGCTCGGGAGGATAAAAGGGAGGTCCCGACGCTGGGTCAGAGCTGTCGTTTGGAATGGAACCCGTCGCCTACGCAAGTCTTCGTCCCCGACTTCACCTCCTCGGCGTTGTGGGTCAGGCAGTGTGCCGGCTGTCCTGACCCGTGTGTAGTTATCCCCTGTTGTCTTGCCTCACGGCAGATGGGGAGCGTACGTTAACAGGAAGTTCCTGTTTTTTGATGCTAATGTTGGTCACGTGACCAGGAAGTGACGATGTTAGATTTCCACTGTACCACGCGGGCTTCAGCCATTACTCAGATAAGTCAAGATGGCGGCACGCATCGCATCTCAGTGAGACCACAGCCGCACTTATCCATTGTGGGAGCTTAAGAAGCATTATCTGTAAGTTGTTTATATTCCTCTAATATTGGAAATGCTGTTGTAATGTTGGAATGACCGTTATAGCAATGTAAATGCCTTTATGGTGCCGTTAAGTTGTTGTAGTAAATACGAGGCATAGTTAGTAACGAAGCCTGTGACTTTCCTTATTGTGGATGTTACTTGTGATTTAGTAGGTCGAGTCAGACTTGTGCCTATGTTGCAATCCTGAGAGTGATGACGAAGTATCTCATCCACAGTTTAGTGTTAAGTGTAATGCTGTACATTTGGGGTGCAGTGGGATGAATACACTGTGCCTGTATGCAACGCATCAGCTTGTGCCTTTGTCTAGTTGTTCAGGGGTAATGTTGGGGCCTGGTCCATCCAGGATCTATTGTTATCTGAGACAATGTTCTGATGCTGTGGTGTTCATTGTGTGGGTGTTTCCGAATTATAACAGATGCTGTATCTGTGTTTTCTCACCAGTTTTACCTGTTACAATCAATAAATGACGATCGGAGTTGGACGGTCATCCTGGCTTCGAGGGTTTATTGAACACATGGTTGTCTACTCGACTAGCGGTGCAACGCAGCGCACAGCGAGGCCGAGATAGTAAAAAGATAGTCTTCTTGAAGCTCCCAATCAGTGCTGCAGCCAGCTCTCTGCAGCCAAGTAAAAATATATTCTTCTTAAAGCTCCCAAGAAGCTCTGAAGTCAACTCTGCAGCCAGCTCTGCAGCCAGCTCTCAAGCAGTCAGCCTGCAGCAAGCAACCAGCTCTCAAGCAGTCAGCCTGCAGCAAGCAACCAGCTCTCAAGCAGTCAGCCTGCAGCAAGCAACCAGCTCTCAAGCAGTCAGCCTGCAGCAAGCAAGGAGCTCTGCAACGAGTCTACATTAAAATCGTGCTGCAAGCATCACAGCATGGAAAGACACAGTTCAGCAGGGAGAGATGCTGAAGAAGGTGAACCAAGCGATCCAGGATCTCCCATCCTGCCTCAAGAGGACCAAGGGAGTTCAAGGCCCCAGAGGGAGGTCAGGTTGACGCAACGGGCCTTGGAAAGCTATGAGGCTGAGAAACAGGACCTGGATGCCAGGATACAACGGGCATGGAACCGGGTTGAAGCAGATTTATCTGAAGCTTCAAATGCCTCAGACACAGTGGCCTCAATTCAGCGGGCCATCCAGCGAGTGAATGTGAGCAGCTCAAGCTACAAGCTCCTGGCAAATAGATACATCTCCCTCCTGATGAAGGTGAAAACAAATGAGGGCACTGAGGGAGTGCGCAGACAAGAGCACTTCCTTGAACTGCTCGATGAAAATGTGCAGGCAGTGATACAAGATGCAATGGACCGTGTGGATGGCTTAAGAGAGACAGGATCTCAGCACTCCGTCTCATCCAGGTCCACCACAAGATCTAAAGCCTCAGCACACTCAAAGACATCATCTACTAGTATGGCAGCAGCTCAGGCACGCGCAGCAGCAGAAGCAGCAAACGCCCGTATTGCCTACATGGCTGAAGAGGAAGCCATGCTAATTGAAAAGGCTCGCATACAAGAAGAAGAGAGTACATTAGTGGCTACTGCCAGACGGAAGAAAATTGAGCTGGATGCTAAGTTAAGCACCCTACAACTCAAAAGGGAAGCAGCTGCTGCAAGGGCCCAGGCAGAGGTGCTCGAAGCAGCAGCCAACCTGGATAAGGAAGAGAATTGGAGTGAGTTTGGCATGCAGATACCTGTCAAGGACCGTGATCAACTCACCAGAAAAAAATATTTTGGACTGGTCTGAACAATGCATCAATGCTCCTCCACCAAACCATACTGAACAAATGGTGGACGTTCAGGCTTCGCCATCTCCACACCGAATGAACATGAATGCTGACTACGGGAATGGTGGAAATGCATATCCCGCTCTGGCAGTTAGTCGCCAACTCAGCGTCGCGCACGTGGGGTCAGACGTGGATGCACCAAGTCAGACCCATATTCCAGACAGTCACATAAGGGGATCCAACCAACGTGATCGAAACCCTTTGGGCCCACAGTCCAACGCCATTGCAAATGACGGCATGCTAGGCAATACAGCCAATAATGCCGCCTCACAAGCGCCAGTATGGATACACCCTGGATCAGCAGGACTAGGAGACTTTGCTAGGTACCTGGCTCACCGCGAACTAATCAACACAGGACTCGTTAAGTTTGATGACCACTCTGAGAACTATCGAGCCTGGAGATCTACCTTCAGGAATGCAATACGAAATGCAGACATCTCTGCAAGTGAAGAACTCGACCTGTTGGTGAAATGGTTAGGAAATGAATCTGCAGAGTACGCAAAGAGGATCCGGTCAGCAAACATTGACGACCCCGCCTCAAGCCTGCATGCGGTGTGGGAGAGGCTCGAGGAGTGCTATGGTAGCCCAGAAACCATTGAGAAGGCTCTCTTCAAGAAGTTGCAGAACTTTCCAAAAATCTCTGGTCGAGACAATAAAAGGTTACGGGAGCTTGGAGATCTTTTGATGGAGCTTGAATCAGCCCAGGCTGATCCCTACTTACCAGGTCTCATTTTCTTGAATACCTACCATGGCGTGAACCCCATCGTAGAGAAATTGCCATTTGACGTGCAGGAAAAATGGAGAACAGCGGGTTCAAGATACAAGTCAGAGCATCAGGTTGCATTCCCCCCATTCTCTTTTTTCTCAAAGTTTATCTGCAACCTGGCTAAGATTAGAAATGACCCGAGTTTCATGTTTGGCACCACGGGGATTTCCAGTCCAGATCTCCCAAAAATGGAAAGAGCAATGGCGAAACGAGGAACAGCGAGAGTGCCAATTTCCGTACACAAGACTGAGGTCTCTCCTACGACATTCGCAAACTCTGTCCAGGCAACCACCACAAAGAAAAAGATAGAGGATCCAGAGAAGCAATGCCCATTGCATGATAAACCTCACTCCCTCCAGAAATGCCGTGAGTTCAGGAGGAAGCCATTGGAAGAGCGGAAGAACATGCTGAAAGAATTTGGAGTGTGCTTCAAATGCTGTGCTTCTACAAACCACCTTGCAAGGAATTGCAAGACAGATATCAAGTGCGAGGAATGTGGCAGCGACAAACACGCAACTGCTCTGCACACATTTTACTCGAAACCCAGTAGCACTAAGGCTTCCGATCCCGAAGCAGAGCACGGCAGGGAGCAAGGCGAGACCGCCGCACTCACTTCGTCAATCACAACAAAATGCACAGAAGTCTGTGGAGAAGGCTTCAAAGGAAGATCTTGCTCAAAGATATGCCTCGTCCGAGTCTATCCCAAAGGACATCCTGAAAGGGCAGTAAGGATGTACGCCATAATGGACGACCAGAGCAACAGGTCTTTGGCAAGGTCAGAGTTCTTTGATCAGCTAAGTGTAGGTGGGAATTCCTTTCCATACACGCTCAGAACATGCTCAGGACTGATGGAGACAGCGGGAAGAAGAGCGAGCGGCCTCATGGTGGAAACCATAGATAGCACCATGAAGCTAGCCCTTCCTACGGTGACAGAGTGCAACGAGATACCGGACGACAGGAGTGAGATTCCCACGCCCGAAGTTGCACGTCACCACCCACACCTGAAACCCATAGCAGAGTTCATCCCGCCATTGGATCACACGGCACAGATTTTACTTCTGCTCGGCAGGGACATGCTGAGAGTCCACAAGGTTCGCGACCAACGTAATAGACCTCACGACGCTCCCTACGCCCAGAGACTCGACCTAGGATGGGTCATCATAGGTGACGTTTGTCTCGATGGAAGACACAAACCAGACCACATTAGCACATTCAGAACGAGTGTGCTCACGAATGGACGCACGTCGCTCTTCAAACCGTGCCCTAACCACTTCACGCTGAAAGAGAAACTCGGCAAGAGAAGTCAAGGCTGTACCGTGCAGACGTACGAAGAAACCACCACAACTTCGCACGTACATCCACCATCTTCGATGGATTTTGTTCCTCCACGTTTCTCCAAGCCAGTCCTCACTGACAAGAGGAAGCCAAAGACGAAGCCGCTGCTCGTCGCTCTGCTGGTGGTCGTGGCGGTGGTTGCTGCGGCCGTGGCCTCTCCGTTCCTAGACCCGGAGCTGTCGTCCAAGTGGGAATCCTGGAAGAAGTTCCACGGCAAGGCCCCACAACCAGAACATACCATCCCAAGGCTCGAGCTGTGTGGAGCTGTTCTTGCTACAGAGGTGGCGGAACTGATCTTAGACGAATTGGACGTCAAACTGGACGCGGTCAAGTTCTACACGGACAGTAAGGTCGTACTAGGCTACATAAACAACCAAACCAGAAGATTCTACACCTACATCAGCAACCGGGTGGAGCGCATCAGGAGATCGACGCAGCCGGAGCAATGGAATTACGTTCCAACTGACCAGAATCCAGCAGATCTCGCAACTAGGTCCGTCCCTGCATCTCTGCTGAATCAAACCATCTGGCTGACGGGTCCAGCGTTCCTGTTATGACATGACGGTGGCCCATGTACTACCAAGGAGACCTTTGGACTCATAGAGCCCGAGTCCGACAAGGAGATTCGTCCTCTAGTGACAACTTTCGTAACAAATGTGCGACCAAGAAGTCCACTGAGTCCACACCATTTTGAACATTTCTCGAAATGGACGACGCTCGTGCGAGCGATAGCACATTTAACGCATATCGCAGACTGCTTCCATCGCCCGATGAGAGGCACCACTGGTAGCTGCAATGGATGGCATTACTGCACAGTGCCACGCACTGAAGACGAGCTTTCCAGAGCAAGGAAATCAATCTTCCGCTGTGTGCAACAGGCAGCTTATGCAAGTGAGATCAAGGCCATCAACAAAGGAGAAGACCTTCCTAGGGTCAGCACCCTCAGGAAGCTAAACCCCGGGATGGACAAAGACGACTTGCTCAGGATCGGTGGTCGGCTAGGGAATGCAAAATAAGATGAGAATGAACGAAACCCCCTCATAATCCCAAGCCAGAGCCACATCGCAATCTTACTCGTGCGCCACTACTACGAGAAGGTCAAGCACCAAGGTCGGCACTTCACAGAAGGAGCAATCCGATCTGCAGGGCTGTGGATCGTTGGAGCAAAGAGGTGCATCGCCAGCACAATCCACAAGTGTATCCGGTGTCGCAAGCTACGTGGAAAACAGGAAGAACAGAAAATGGCAGACCTCCCAGCCGATCGACTCAGTGTGGAACCTCCCTTCACCTCTGATGGGATTGACGTGTTCGGACCGTGGACAGTCATCTCCCGCCGCACCAGAGGAGGGCTCGCGAACAGCAAACGTTGGGCAGTGCTGTTCACCTGTATGAGTACACGAGCAGTGCACATTGAAGTCATCGAGTCCATGGACTCTTCGAGCTTTATAAATGCACTCCGGAGGTTCTTCGCCATCAGAGGGCCAACCAAGCAACTCCGTTCTGATTGTGGAACCAATTTCATAGGAGCATGTAAAGAGCTTAAGATCAATACGGAGAATGTCGAAGATTATTCTGTCAGGAAATACCTTAGTGACCAAGGCTGCACATGGATCTTCGCACATCGGTGGAGCCTGGGAACGCATGATCGGGATTGCTCGACGCATTCTCGACTCCATGCTATGTGATGTCGGGTCCACACGGCTCTCTCACGAGGTCTTGACCACTCTCATGGCCGAGGTTTCAGCCATAATTAACTCAAGACCCCTGATTCCCGTCTCAACCGACCCGGAGTCACCATTCATCTTGACTCCTGCTACACTTCTTACCCAGAAGACAGATGTGCTCACAGCACCTACCGAGGAGGCCAGCACTGCAGACCTCTACAGACGTCAATAGGAGACAAGTGCAGAGCTTCGCGAACACGTTCTGGCGTCGCTGGAAAAACGAGTACCTTACGACACTCCAAGTGCGCAACAAGTGGCAGTCTAATAGACCAGACATCCAAGAAGGCGACCTCGTCCTACTGAAGGACAACCAAGCCAAACGGAATGAGTGGCCAATGGGCCGCATCCTCAAGTCGATTCCAAGTGCCGATGGAAAAGTTCGAAAGGTCGAGGTTATGATTGCGAAGCAAGGTGTCGCAAGAACTTTCATCAGGCCCATAGTCGAGATAGTACTACTTCTCTCTCGCAAAGATATGGACAAATAAGTCGACCCGTTGAAGTTGTTATACACTTGTTTATGAGATAGGAAATAAATGCTGGTATCTCCTAGATACCAGACGGGGAGTGTCTTGCCTCACGGCAGATGGGGAGCGTACGTTAACAGGAAGTTCCTGTTTTTTGATGCTAATGTTGGTCACGTGACCAGGAAGTGACGATGTTAGATTTCCACTGTACCACGCGGGCTTCAGCCATTACTCAGATAAGTCAAGATGGCGGCACGCATCGCATCTCAGTGAGACCACAGCCGCACTTATTCATTGTGGGAGCTTAAGAAGCATTATCTGTAAGTTGTTTATATTCCTCTAATATTGGAAATGCTGTTGTAATGTTGGAATGACCGTTATAGCAATGTAAATGCCTTTATGGTGCCGTTAAGTTGTTGTAGTAAATACGAGGCCTAGTTAGTAACGAAGCCTGTGACTTTCCTTATTGTGGATGTTACTTGTGATTTAGTAGGTCGAGTCAGACTTGTGCCTATGTTGCGATCCTGAGAGTGATGACGAAGTATCTCATCCACAGTTTAGTGTTAAGTGTAATGCTGTACATTTGGGGTGCAGTGGGATGAATACACTGTGCCTGTATGCAACGCATCAGCTTGTGCCTTTGTCTAGTTGTTCAGGGGTAATGTGGGGGCCTGGTCCTTCCAGGATCTATTGTTATCTGAGACAATGTTCTGATGCTGTGGTGTTCATTGTATGGGTGTTTCCGAATTATAACAGATGCTGTATCTGTGTTTTCTCACCAGTTTTACCTGTTACAATCAATAAATGACGATCGGAGTTGGACGGTCATCCTGGCTTCGAGGGTTTATTGAACACATGGTTGTCTACTCAACTAGCGGTGCAACGCAGCGCACAGCGAGGCCGAGATACCTGTACTGTGGAAGTGTAGAATGAACGTGTGTGCCTCCTACTATTAGTGTCTCTGAAGTGACTACTACACATACATAGGTGGTCGCTAACAGCAATCGCCCCAACAGTCTGTTAAAGCTAAACGGGGGATCTTTGTCTTTGTGTCGAGCGGTAGTGTAGCGGGTTAGCGTGCTGAGCTAACGGACCCGTCGACCCGAGTTCAACAGCAGTTACTAATATCAGAACCGTTCCCGGTACGATGTGTAAATATATAAATATCGCCATTCATGGTGTTGGCCAACCCACCATCAGTGTGGGGAGTGGTAGTGAAGCGGTTAGCGTGCTGTGCTCCCAACCCGGTGACCAGAGTTTGATTCTCGCTCACGGTCAACATGAGTGACAAATATCTGAACTAGTCCTGGGCCTCCCCTAGGTCTACTCAGCCTCAAATGAGTACCTAGGGCGGTGTGTACACATCGCCACTGGGGAGACAAAGGTGACCGAGTGTGGTGCTGACCACCCACCCCCTAGTGTGCAGTGGAGGCCAGAATAGGTGCTCGCTAACAGTCTGTTAAAGGCGACACGGGGGATCTTTGTCGTTTGTGTGCACCCGCTGGCTCTCACCTTGGTGAGCGCCCCCGAGTGGTAGGTCCACCTCATCTTGGTTCCCCCGTACTCTACGCGCACGTCTCCTCGCTCTGTGATGCGGTGCACCGTGCCGACCTTCCCGATGAACTAGCGCGGAGATGCAGGGACACGCGGGGACACGGGGTAACGGGGCAGGGGGCGACAGTCAACGGGACATATGCGGACAACTTGGAAACACCCAGGGGGGCAGCAGGAGACACACGGGGGCAGGGGGACAAGTCGTACAGCACGGGGATATACGCAGGGACAGTTGGAGACACACACGAACAAAGACAAAGATCCCCGTATAGCCTTAACAGATTGTTGGGGCAGGTGCTGTCAGCGAGACACACACACACAGGACGGCAGTCACACCATGAGAAACGCAGAGGCGTCCAAAATCACATCGCACGCAGTGGAGACAGAATATTTATTATTAAGTCCGTGCAGTGGACCAGACCATCAGAGACACACATACAAACAAACCATCAGTGACACACGGAGAGATACGAAGATCCACGAAGACATCCAGACCATCAGGGACACACAGAGACACACGAAAATACGCAGAGACACAGAAAAGAGATGCGGGAGCCAACCACTGGCCTCACGGCTTTGTCCACATGAATCCCCCACCTCAGCCATCTTGGGGTTCCAGCCACCGTGTCCGTCCTGCATCTGTCTCAGAATGTCCTCCTCCAGGAGACACTTCACCTTGTCGCCCACCTGGAAGGCCCGCTCCTCCTGCATCTCCTGGCCCCTCACCTCGGCCGGCTCCCCTGGGCACCGCCACACGCGACAATATGCGTGACAATACACGCGCGACAATATGCGTGACGCGCGCGGCACTTGTGTCAGTCATGCTGTCCCCCCATGCGTCTCCATGCTGCTGTCCCCACTTCACGCACCATACGCAGCAAGTGTCACCTAAGAAGGCGCCGTACTGTAAGCTGCAGGAGATTTGCGGTGGGAGGGGTGGTGATGGTGAGGCGATGCTGCTGCTGTGCATAATCAGAGCGATTTGTGGTGTCGTTTTTCAAAGTTGCCAAGTGTGGACCATGATGCCGGCACACGATGACCCGCCGCTGCTGCTCGTTTCGAACGACGCTAACGCAGGCGGCGTGTCGTAGTGCCGTCATCACGGTTAACACGCAGCCGTAGTGTTAACCAGGGCGGCCCGCCGGATTCGAACCGCGAACCTCTGCAACAAGTGCCGACCACGCCACCGCCTGGCCATGTAAACCGCCCCTGTTTAATACTGATATTGTTCATGTAACAATTATTATTAATCGATTTATATATCCAGGAGAGCCCCACAGAGTGGGTTGGACTCTATGTAACTCGCTGACCCGCCCCTGCTGGACATATGTGACCCCCTACTGGACATCTCTGAAAAAGAGCTTCACAGCACATCGGCACTCCAGGCTAAATAAAAATTCTGATCTTGATTTCAGGAGTTTCCTGCTGCTACATCGGGGATTTTCAGCCAATGAACGATGTTGATTATTACTGTAGTATTATTACTGTACCTGCGAGGAGGAACCAGAATAAAACCCTTACGTAGTAAAACAATACGAATATATAGAATTTGTATTATTATTTTGAACCCAACGTGTGGAAGGCACGACCACTGGGCCGCATCACTGGGGCCAGAGCCCCCCATCTCCGCCTCATCGGTGGCGAGATGTCAACTACCTCACCTGGTACACAGGAAGTCGTGGGTTCGATCCTGACCCTGACGCCTGCTGCTGTATATTTGGAGTTTGCGGCGTCTCTCTCCCAATGGTCGCGTGGATTTTTCTCCGGGCCCTCCGGTTTTTCCCCTCTACATTTAGAATCAATGTCACACGTGCAGAGCGTCTGGCTGCTGCTATCCATTTCCACGTGATGATGACGAACCAACTTCGTTGACCTATACACTTGTGACAGGCAGGTCTCTTCTGAAAAAGAGCTACGTGGCTCAGTGGCGCGCCTTACCCTGGGGTCAAATAAATAGCAGCAAATAAATGGTGAGGTGTCGCCATACCCAGCAGGGGCAGGTGCTCGGCGAAGTAGTATCCCCCGTGGGAGTCGGCGATGCACTTGAGGTCGACCTTGCCCTTGTGCCCGACGCGGTACACGTTGGTGGAGCCGTTGGCCCAGGTGACGCAGGCAACGCTGCGCCACGACTCGGCGTCCCAGCCCCGGATTTCGTTCACCTTGCCGTGCTTCCCATCGCCGCCTACAGACAAACACAAAGGTCCCATGCCACCATCACCCCACCCCCCAAATGGCATAGAGCATGAATAGACAGCTGGGGCAATTGTTGTCAAACGAGTAGCAGCACCTACGAAGGCCGACATGGCACACGAAGGGGTGGGTGGCCAGCACCATGCCCGATTGCCTTTGTTTCCCCAAGTGCTGATGTTTACACACCGTACAAAGTACTAATTTGACGGCTGAATCGCCCCAGGGAAGGCCCAAGACAGGTTCAGATAACCGTCACTGGTGTTGGCCATGAGCGGGAATCGAACTCGGGTGGCCGGGATTATAGTGCAGTCCGCATACCTACACTAAACCTCCCGATGATGACAACAGCCGCCATTCACCACGAAGTGGCAGTGACATCACCGCTTGAGACAAACATAAGTGCCCTTTGAGGCGAAGTGAAGCGTCGAAGACTCGCTGACAGGAGGTTACGGGACAGGCTGAGGTGCCTTGGGTTGACAGACCGGGATGACTGGCAGATGCACCACCTGTCCTCCCTACCATGCCACCTCACTGCGTTTCAGCCGCCTGGAGCTTCGCTCGTTGTTGTGAGCATCATTCCTCTGCCCTCTGTTGTTGCTAGAGGGCAACTGCCTCCAACTGCCCAGTAGCGTCCTTCATGAGCCTCCTCCATGACAGACAAAGTTAAAAGACTTGGGGTAAGTGCTGTTAGAGAACAGCACCTATGAAGGCCAACATGGCACACGAGGCGGTGGGTCACCAGCACCACACACGGCAGCCTTTGTCTCCCCAGTGGTAATGTTTACACACCACGTACTCAGTTTGAGGCTAAGTCTACCTAGGGAAGGGCCCATCAACATACTCTTTGGTTCTTTCGGTAAAGTCACGTAGGTATATTATTTATTTTCTACCTACGTGACTTTACCGAAAGAACCAAAGAGTATAATTCCTGCAGTCACGAAAGCTTCAAATCTAGATTGGCCCATCACCAGTTCAGATAATCGTCACTGGTGTTGGCCGTGGAATCGAACCCGGGTCGCCAGGTTCATAGCGCAGCGCGCTAACCGGTACACTACCGCTCCCAACACGCGTGTGTACACGTGTCCGCAACACGCATAGCTTGCATCGTGTAACTTGTCGAGGTGGTAAAGGTGCAGATCCCCCTTGGGGGAGCGGGTGAGGGGGGGTGCGGAAGCAGTGACTTCAAAGTCCTCTTTCTCATCAAGCATGCTTTAGACTGGCGTCAGACAGCCCGGGGACGCACGAGCCTGGGCGTGTACACGCACGCACACACGGACACACACGCACACACGGACACACACGCACGCACACACGGACACACACGCACGTCTGTTCCTCTAACATGCCTCTTTCTTTCACATTAATTTACGGGGCAGCAGGGAGGGAGCGGGAGGAGATGGTTGCCAACATAAATTAGCTCTCAATCTCATTGCGCAGTGACGCACGGTGGGGGGGGGGGGGCGGCAGGCAGCCAAGCGTCGTTATCGTTGCCCGCTCGGCTGCAATTTACTAAATTGGCGAGCAGAGTGGGCAAGAGGGGGAGTGGGGGACAGGTAGGGGAGGGGAGGGGTTGTGAGGGGGAGTACGTGTGACTTTCCTTGCGCCTGTGTCACTAATTAATTGGCACGGGGAAACGGGAGCCAGCGGAGGGGTGATGTTCAATGGCAGGCTGACCAAGTGGGTGGTGGGTGAGCGCGCCAGTGAGTGAGTGGGTGAGTAAATGGGTGGGTGAGTGAGTGAGGAGAGTGCGTCAGTGAATGAGCGGGAGAATAAATGGTTAAGTGAGTGAGTGGGTGAACATATGGATTGGTGAGAGATTAGCCAAGTGATTGAGTGGTCGAGCGGACGAGGGAGTGAGTGAGAATGTGGGTGAATGCGTGGGTGAATAAGTGGTTGAGTGATAGACAGTGGGGGCGAGAGTAGGATAGTGCACGAGAGAGGAGTGAGTGTAAGAGTGTGGAGCGAGCGAGTGGGCAAGTGAACAAGTGTAAGAGTAAGGGAGGTGGATGCTTTGGGTGAGCGAGCGGGTGGGGCGAGTGAGCAGGGGAGTGGGAAAGGGTTGCGGTGCGTAGAGCAGAGAAAGTTTGGGGAATCAAGAGGGCAGGAAAGGCATCAAAGTAGTGCAGGGGCAAATGGCAATGAGCAGTGGGCAGCGCAACAGTGGGCAGCGCAGCAGTGGGCAGGCCGGGCCGTCCGTACCGTCCTGGTTGCCCCAGTCCCAGTCGGGTCCCCGCACGACCTTCGCCCCCTGGAAGAGGCCCCGCAGCTGCACCCGCTCCAGCCCGGCACGGGAGCTCATGGGGACCCTGCATTACACCGCACCGCGTCATACCACGGTGTACTCTACAGCACCACGTTTATCCACAGTGTTCTCTACAGCACGAAGTGATACCACAGTGTACTCTACAGCACCGCACCACATTATACCATACCACAATCCACTGTAACACACCGCACTACACTACACCTGTTGTAACAGTGGCCCACACTACACCACACCCCTTGTAACACACCGCACCACACGACACCTGCTGTCACACACCGCACCACACTACACCACACACCAAGTAACACAGTGCCCCACGAACGCGGGGCGCCCCGGGTCCCCAAATCATCGCTGAGCATGGCCAATGACGGAGCCGCCGACGCCACACAAACTCTGCATTCACAGTGCTCACACCGACGGCGCACTCCCCCGACTTCCTGCCAAGGGCAAATCGAACATTCATCTTCATCCGCTTCCCTCCCCAATTACATTTCTATTGTTCCGCTCGCGTTCATTGTTGTCATCTAAAGGAGGACATTTTCATTCAGAACCTGTGCGGTGACATCGCCCCCCCCCCCTGACCCCGCCGTCCTCCACCCCCTGAAGAAGACGATCTCCGGAAGTGGATATCACAGAACTCATTCCGGAAGTCCCTGTCATTGGCCTCTTCATCCACACGGAGGGAGAAGGGGGTGGAACACGTTGCAAGGCGCTGCTCGCCGTATGACAACTGCAGTGGAAGCTGACCGGGATTTAAAAGCCAGCCGGCTTTGGCTATATTGACGATGTTGCAACATGGACGTGACTGTCCTATCGCTAAACCCGAGAAGTCGGTTTTAATTACAGTTCTTATTCGGTTGGTTGGGCGGCTGAATCCCAGATTGCAACCCAGGATAGGAGCCACGGTGGCGAGATGTTAACTACCTTGCCTGGTCTGCAGGAGCTCATGGGTTCGGTACCGACCCTGACACCAGTATTGTTGGCGTTTACGTGTATCTCTCTCCCCGTGGATTTTTCTCCGGGTCCTCCGGTTTTTCCCTCCACATTTCGAAACATGCATTTAGAGTATTGGGCTGCTATAAATGTCTGCGTGATGATAAGCCACTTTGTTGAGCTATCATTGGTAGCCAGGTCGCTTCTGAAAAAGAGCGACACAGCTCAGTGTGGGCGTGACCTGGTAAAGTAAATTAAAAAAATCTTCACGGCACCGGCTCGGCAACGTCTCCACATAAATGAAGCGTACCAGCCAAGTTGGCATGTGCCCTCATGCTAGCAATGAAACGGGGGGTGGGCAGGGGTGGGTGGCAGGCGGGGGGGCTACCTACTCTGTCTCCACTCGGTGTCCCTCCCAGCCCCCCCCCCAATAACCGGGCCACGGCCCCCCTCCGGACGGTATTCCCCCCCCACCCCACGTCTCCCACCTCCGCCCTCTCGCCCGTCATTCCGCTGACGAGGCGCGAGCGATGGAGACGGGGGGGGGGGGGGAATGTGCGCATCTCCTTCTCCGTAAAGCGAATTGAAACGTGATTGATGGGCACACGGGCACGGCCCATGTCCACCCCCTCGCTGCCTTCTTATCCGCCCCCTCCTCCTCCTCCTCTTCCGCCCTCTCCTCCTCCTCCTCCTCCTGCTCGTCGTCTGTCTCTGGCACTGACGGTGATGCCCGTGTGCGCCCCCTCCCCCTCGCGGGGGGTGTGTGATGGAGTGAGTCTGAACTTGCAGGCGTGTGCGCCGAGCGTCTGAATTTATCGGGATGATGGAGCAGTTGCCAGGCCCCCCCCCAACCCCTCTCCCCCACAGATGGGGACAACAGGGATGAGTGGCGGCAGGAAAGACAAAGGGGGATGAACGGACGGGCGTGACGATGTGGACGTGGAAGCACGCTCACTCGGGATAAACGGACGCAGAATTACTCATGCACACAAATACTCTCACAAATTTAGCTGCAGACACACACTCAAACACATGCTTGGATACCCAGAAATGCTCACACAAACTCAGATGGGCTAACACATCGCACCAGGTCCTTATTTCAGGCTGAGTCGACCTAGGAGAGGCCTAGAATTGGTTCAGATAATGGTCACTGATGTTAGCCGTGAGCAGGAATCAAACTCAGGTGGCCGGGCTCGTAGCGCAGTGCGCTAACCGTGATGCTACAACTCCCCACACAGGCTAACATACGTACAAAGATCCCCATGTTGGTCGTGAACGGGAATCGACCCCAGGTCACCGGGTACTCACTCACATATGTACCCACTCAAACAGTCCTATTCCAATACACACAACTCACACTCACAGACTCACACATGCAAAGCCATCTACTAAAGAAAAGGCTTTCCCCATCTAGCAAATGCACACACACAATGTTCTAACAAAAAAGGTCTCTGTCACACCACACACACCGATCTCTGTGCAATCCACCAACCCCCCCCCCACCCCACGGCATCCCAAGTTCCACACCGCAGGGGCGCAATTCATGAACACCGGGGCGTCACCAAGACCGGCAGGGTGAGCGTCACCGGGGTCTCACCGCGTCCGAATGCTCCGCAGACACCACGTCGGCAGTGACGGCCGTTTCGTCAAATCAATTACGGGCGGGGAAATCGCGCCGCACCAAGGCGTGACGTGATTTAAAATTGTCGGCATTTGAAAACCGCTTTCGCGTACGGGGGAGGCGAGTGACACGGGCGCTGGAGCAGAGGCACAAACGACATTCCACTGCTGGATGATGTCCTCCCTCCGCAAGCCGTGTTGGGTCATTGGGGTCGCTGTAACGACTCACTTCACCACCCCGGGCCACACGGGTTGGTCCAGGATCAGTTAATCACCGATGGGGCGCCATGGTGGCGAGATGTTAACTACCTCGCCTGGTACATAGGAGGTCGTTGGGTTCGATCCCGACGTTGACGCCTGCTGTATATTTGGAGTTTGCGGTGTTTCTCTCCCCGTGGTAGCGTGGATTTTTCTCCGGGTCAACGTCACGCGTTTTTAGAGTATTAGGCTGCTATAAATGTCCATGTGATGATGTCAGCCACTTCGTTGGGCTACCTGTGGCCAAGTCGCTGAAAGAAAAGGTAATAGCTCAGTGGGGCTTTACCTGGCAAAAAATTATTTTTCTTCGTAATTTACTTTCCTTACTTAAACTTTGCACTCCTATCGTATATAGCTCAGTGGGACTGAGTTGGTAAAATGAACATAGTTAAAAAATAGGAGTTAGATGCGTGCCGTGGCCACGAACCAACCTGCATAGACCACGGGGGCCATTTGACCATACTTCACCGTACCGGCTCAGTGCGGGTTGGTGAAGCGGAGGGAGCGGGGGATGGGGGGGAAGCCCCGACGATCGAGTCGCATATCGATATTGCTCGCGACCGGTGCGGTGGCGGCCGTGGCTGGGAATGGAACTCGGGTCACCGGTTTCGGAGCGCGACGCACTGACCACCGCGCCACGAGACGTCCCTGACCGCGACACCTGGGTAAGAGTGATACCAAATAGAAATGGATTCTAACACGTCGAGGGATGGCCTCACTGTGCTTTCACCTGAGTGCCAGCGTCTGACCGGGTCAGATTTGATCCCCCCTCCTCTCTTCCCCCCCCCCCTTCAACCCTAACTGAACAAACAAAGAAAAATTACCGAGTCTGGCCCAACGAGAAAAACAAAAGAAGGCGAGTGGCCGCTTTGGCCACGATTTGCCATCGATCCTAGTCCTGCCAAGCCAGTGGGTGATGTTTGAGTGAGTGAATGACCGCCGTGGTGTGCGTGAGTGTGTGCGTGAGTGTGTGCGGATGAGTGCGTGCGGGTGAGTGCCTGCGGGTGAGTGCGTGCGGGTGAGTGCGTGCGGGTGAGTGCGTGCGGGTGAGTGCGTGCGGGTGAGTAGGTGCCGGTGAACGCGTGCGGGTGAGTAGGTGTGCGTGAGTGTGTGCGGATGAGTGCGTGCAGGTGAGTGCGTGCGGGTGAGTGCGTGCGGGTGAGTAGGTGCGGGTGAGTAGGTGCCGGTGAACGCGTGCGGGTGAGTAGGTGTGCGTGAGTGTGTGCGGATGAGTGCGTGCGGGTGAACGCGTGCGGATGAGTGAGTGCGGGTGAGTGCGGGCAGGTGAATGCATACGGGTGAGTAGGTGGGGGTGAGTAGGTGCGGGTGAGTAGGTGCGGGCGAGTGCGTGGAGGTGAGTGCGTGCGGGCGAGTACGTGCGGGCAAGGGAGTGCTGGTGAGTATATGTTGTGCAGCGGTAACGTAGCGGTTATCCGCGCTGCGCTGCGAACCCGGCCACCCGAGTTCGATTCCCGCCTATGGCTACCAACACCATTAACGATTATCTGAACTGGTGCTGGGCTTCCTCTAGGTCGACTCAGAGCTCAACTGAGTACCTGGAGTGGTGTGTTAACATTGCCACTGGGGAGACAAAGGTGGCCGGCCATGGTGCTGGCCACCCACCCCTCATGTCGGCCTTCATAGATGCTCGCTAACAACACTTGCCCCAAGTCTGTTCAAGGATACACATTGGGAACTTTGTTGTTGGTGTGTGAGTAAGCGAGTGAGCACGAGAGCGAGTGTGTCAATGAGTGAGAGAGGCCAATGAGGGAGCGAGCGAGGATGCGACGGGAGCGGGTGCCACCCACCGCTGGGGTGACTCACAAAGGACCCCCTGGCCCACTCAGCCACCCACTCACTCAGCCGCCTACTCACTCAGCCACCCACCCACTCAGCCGCCCACTCAGCCACTCACTCACTCAGCCACCCAGTCTGCTTCATCCCTCGCACCGCTCAACTTCGGAAATTCCCTCCCGTCATCTCTTTTCTCTCCCAAGATCTTACAATAACAACATCACTCAACTCAAGAAACATCGCACGCTCTCACCGTCATCTACCTACGGATGTTGAACTTCCTTCGCGCCGTACGTACACAGCCAACCGTGCTAATCGGAGGTGCGGTACAATGGTGCTGGTCGTTGCTGGCCATTCATCACTAACTTTGCGATGCACGCATCGAGCATGCACCACAAACATATATTATCAGAGCATGTTTGTTTGCATGTTCACCACAAGGACGTGTGGTTAATGCAGACTTGATGCCTTGCAAAATGTACCTATTTGGTATTTGAACATCTTAACACCTGTTTTATTATTGACTGTTTTATTGCCAGAAAGCGTAAAATAGAATTGAAAATATTGTGGTTTTAATCTTCAACACACCGGTTTGCTGAAGTAGTAACTAATTGGCACGTTTACAAACAGGCTACGTTGGGTGGTGGCAGATTGAAGACACATTTATATTTACGTGACCTAACCCAAATAAATCTCTACTGTCGAAATTGGTCGCTGCATAATAATGTAGACCAACAACATCTGCCCCTTCTGTATAGGGAATGTAAACACTCATTCATTGGCTGAAAACATTAATATTTTAGAGGACCGCAGAGCTTTGGCAACTGTTGACAGCACCGGCTCACCACCACTCGTCTGTGGTTCCTCCCAGCTCCCCGTGAGTCGTTCTCTCTCTACGGGAGCGAGCGAGCGAGCACAGTTTGGCTGTGCTTTGCAAGACGACGTTGTTATCATTATTACATTTGGGCCTAACCCAAAAATATATTTAAAAATCATAATCACTGGCTTGCGAAAAACCCTACGTGTTAAGTAATCCCTTCCTCTTCCTCCGACAATCCTCGTCCTCCTCCGACAATCTTTGAAGTTTCAAGGACAGGAGCTGCCATGGGAGAGCACGCTGGCTAAGGGGGGGGGGGGGTCACCGAAGCACCCCGCCGGAGCCGTTACGTCCATCCCAAATGCATCACCACGAACAACAACTATGATCCATCACAAACCCCATTACGGCACGCGCACCCCTCTCTCGCCACAATCCCCCGGCCACACAAATTAATGTTCCCGGCGTGTGCCGGCCGAGATTTGCCGGGATGATCGATGGTGAATGAAGAGAAATAAGCTTTGATCCGTCAGACTTCCGTTGCTGCCACTGCTGATGCTGCCGGTGATGGTGATACCCTCCGAGTTTTTTTGTTTTTTTAAAGATGCCCTCCGAATTGGGTGCACCGGTGGCGAGACGTTAACTACCTCACCTGGTGTGCAGGAGGTCGGGGGTTTGATCCCGATTCCGACGCCTGATATGGAGTTTGCGGTTTCTCTATCCCTCCCCGTGGTCACGTGGATTTTTCTCCGGGTCCTCCGGCTTTTCCCTCCACATTTAGAATCGTTTAGAGTATTTGTCTGCTATACATTTCCACGTGATAAGCCACTTTGTTGTACTATCATGTGGCAAGGTCGCTTCTGAAAAAGAGCTACACAGCTCAGTGGGCCTTACTGGGTAAAATAGAAATAGTTGTTTTTTTTAATCACGGTTTTCCAAGTCATTAATTTAAAGGCCCAAAACGTCCTGTGGCCAGAAAACAAAAAGCACTATTGGAGGAGTGATACATTGCGTGCATTCAGATGCGCTTTCTGCGGCCATCTGGAATGCTCTTCCTTCCGATATTAGGAATCTGCTGGGAGCTATACACTTTTAAATCATCTAGATTGACGCACTTATTTATTTAGAACTGCTTTTGTGTTTAGTGTGTTGTCCTTCCCCCTCCGTACCTCCGATTAGCACGGTTGGCTACGTACGGTGCGAAAGACGTTCAACATACTTACAGATACGTACACAACAGAAAAGAGGTGATACGGTTTGTAATACGTGGGTTTCAATGCTCCTCCCCTCCCCTGGGGGACTGCGACCCACCGCTCTATGCCGAAGTGTCTCTAGGACGTCAGCTCGTACGCTGTGCCATGCACTCTGTGCTGTGAATGCCGTGGCAGGGGAAGTTTTTGTTTAATCTGCACGAGGCAGCGCGAGCGTCACGTTGCGGCGACGCACAACGTGAACACAAAACACGCTCATACACAATACCAACACAAATGCCTTCCGAACACAAAACTTGCTCATATACAGCACGAACACAAATGCCTTACTAAAAGTGTGTTGACTAGAGACGTGGACTCTCTGTGGACTGTGGCCTCAAAAATCACCTGCTTGATGGGCGTGGGGACCCAGTTGCCTTGATTGGGGGGGTTGCCGGGGTACAAAGAGGCTTTGAATGGTCATGTTGCTTTCTCTCAGGAGAGAGTCATTCCGTCCTGAGGGATGGTGGCCGCAGCAGTGTACGGACGGATTAGCAGCCGCACTCGACCTGCAACGCTGAGCGCCACCAGTTCGACCCCATGCACCTGGTGTGGTGCAGCAGTCGAAACAATGGGAGAAGAGTTTCTCTAATCACACCCCACCCACCCCCCCTGCCACTGCCCTCGCCAACCGCCTGTGTCCACCCAGCAGTATGAATGGGTACAACCGCAGTGAGTCGATTGGCAGGTCGCGTGCGGTGGGGAAAGGTGTGGGTACTTTCGCCGCTTCAAAAGACATCTGGCCAATGCAAAAGAGTAGGCCAAAGTCTTGACGGGACTCTCTTTCGAGCGCCCTCTTTCGCGGAGGGTGCTTCCGCCAGCAGGACTGTGAGCAAGCAAATCCTGCGCTGCGCCTTTAGCTATAATGTTACAGGGTTAGGCTGAGCTATAAATGGATCGCTTCGTATATATAATTTTTTGTGTGCGTGTCTGCGAGACGGGAAAAAAGCGAAATGCAATTACGCGGGATGAATTGCCCCTGCGTGTGCGCGAGCGTGCACGTGGGTGTGTGCGTGTGTGTGACCCCTGCGCACTCACAAAGACACAGAGACGGTCTCAGGTCGCCAAATCCCAAGGGGTGGGGTACAGCGGGGAGCTATCCACGGGGAGGAGCGGTGGGGGGGGGAGGCCACCGAGAGAGTGGGGCAGTGAACGTGGAGACAAAGGTAGAGGGGGAAGCCAGAAATCCTACCGACCCCACATGACCTACCGCACAGGAAACCACATGGCAACGCACAGCCACCGAGGAGCAGAATCTAGGTTAGGATCTGGGGTCAGGGTAAGAGTCAGGGTAAGGGAAATGATTTAGACTCAGCGTTAGAATTAGGACTATGGGTTAGAATCAGGATTAGGGTCAGGGCTATGGTTCTGACAAGGGTTACAGTCAGTTGGCTTCAGTATGAGGAATATGGACACCGTGCCTCCTGTATAGGGTGTGGCGATACAGACAGCTACGTAGCCTCATGCAAGTGTCGTGATAAGCAATGGTCGCAGGGGCCTGGGTTCAATTTCGGACTCGGGCGCATCCCTGCGTGAAGTACGCACGTTCTCCTAGCCCAGTGCTGTACCGGCGTCCTCCGGTTTCTCCGGTTTCCTCCCATAGCAAAATAATAATAATTAATTAATCATTCTACGTAACTGGTGTCGGCCAAAACAATCCCAATGCTGAAAAGAAAAAAAAATCACCTGCAAATCACTCAATTTGGACTTCACACATTAGCAGCGTCATTGATGCCCAGTGGAAGCAGTGCAGGGGCAGTTACAGAAATTACGGTTGGGCAACCAGGGGGGCAGAGGGGTGGGCGGAGGGGCGGGGGGGTTACTCACGGGCGGGAGAGCGCCGTCTCGTGCCTCTCGAAGGCGTGGCCCAGATCGTGCTTGTTGCCCATGTAGCACTGCGTGCACAGGTCGAAGTCGTAGCACACGCTGCAGCGCCAGCGCATGCCCACGATGCCGTGCTTCTTGCACGAGTCGCAGATGATGTTGGGGTGACGCACGCCTGCACGCGCGGGCAGCGGGAGGGGGCGCGTGCAAGGAGTCGAGCACGGAGACGCGTTGAGCTCCACGCGTGGCGGGGTACGAGGATGAGCGCGTTTGCGAGTCACCCCCTGCGGTGGGAGTATTCAGCTCAGTTGCCACGTGCGAGCAAAGATGCGAGCGAGCACGTAAGCAGTGGCACACAGGCATTCGTGGAAACATGCAAATGGACATGCGGAGACTCACGGAGACACACGGAGACACAGGTGAACGGTGATGATAAGGCAGACACACACCCCGCACTTTGATGATGATAATAAAAATGCAAACACCCCGCCCCCATCATTGTCCATGACCTATGCACTGCTGGCTGAAGGCCCTCCATCTCCGTGGCGGGTGTACCATCTTGAGTGCATTCCCTCCTTTAGCTGCTACTCCGGCATTCATCTCTACCACAGGTCATCATCCCTCCTGGTGACGTGTCTTGCCCAAGCCCCATGTAAATACAGGAGAACCCCTCTTGACGACCACCCCTGTTAACGACGAATCGCCTAACGAGGGACCTCCAGGGAGCCAAATGTGTAGTGCATAGTGTAGTGTATAATAGTCTATAGTAGTGTAGTGGATAGTAGTGTAGTGTGTCGCATGCAATACCTTGGAGTCTACAAACTGAGTTGTACCTGCGGTAGCAGTTACTTTGGGGAAACGAAACGACATGTCTCGGACCGTGTTCGCGAACACAAGGCAAATCTGAAACACGGCAGTACCAATACCTCTGCCGTAGCTGACCATTGTTATAACGCTATGGGCTCGCATGATATTGTTTTTTTCTGAGACCAAGGTACTCTGCAAACCTTTGGGCAACTTTCAAAAGTTTGTTCATGAAGCCATCCAGATATATAAACATAACTTCAACCGAGAAAATTGAGCAATCATTGGAAGGATGTTATTAACCAGGTAAAGCCCTTAACTGGTTGTGGTTGTTTCCACCCTACATGCCGTTTACTAGTACATTTTTCCTATTTACTCCCCCCCCCCCCGTGTCCCACACTCAGCTTCCCACTTCTAGCCCCGCCCACTTCCCCCCCCCCCCCCCAGCCTCACTTCCTCTCCCCCGAACGCTCACCCCCCCTTCCCCACCCCCCCCCTCTCTCCCCCCTTACCGCCCCCCTCTCTTACCTATATAACCTCTTGCCACGGCAGCTCTCTCGCCTACTTCAGAATTGTCTTGCTGTGGTTGTTCCACCTGGTGAAGATTGCTTGTGTTGCAATCCAAACGTCGTGATTTGTTTTATTTCTACCTACGTGACTTTACCGAAAGAACCAGAGTGTGTAGTGTATAGTAGTGTAGTGCCTCCATAGAGCCCAATGTGTTCCCTTACCTCCATTCCCCTGTTAATGACGAGCTGTTGTAGGTACAGTAAATATGAATTAATGCATTGATTATCCACGTTACTTTTAATATTGTGTTTATAATGGTGTTAGTATCTTTACGTATTATATCCATTGTTTAAATACTAAAAAGTACAATTTTTGGGTGAAAAATAGTAACTTTCGAAGCTATCGGAATGAATTATGTCTTTAACATGTATTTTTGATACTCGTTTAATGACCAAATCACTTAACGACCGGTTTTGCAGAACCAATTACCTTCGTTCTAAAAATATATATATATTTCCACGTGATAAGCCACTTCGTTAAGCTATCATGTGGCCAGGTTACTTCTTTAAAATGACTCTATAGCTCAGTGGGCCTTACCTGGTAAAATAAAAAATAGTTTTTAAGTGATTTGTTTACCTTTCCTATACTTTGCACTCCTATCATGTGTTTGCATTCTTTGTTTCTAAATGTCTGACCAGCCCCTACTGGACATCTGTGACAAAGAGCTTTGTAGCTCATAACATTCCTCCTGCAGTCTAAATAAATATTTACATATTTTTATTCAATGATTATGATGATAGTAACGACGACGCTTATGATGCGCTGAGTAAACCCTCAACCCGAATGATGGGAGGTCGACAACTTCGACCACAGCGCCACTCTGTGGTCACGAGAGGCAAAGATAACACGACTGAGGAATGACAAAAACATACAAGACAACAATTTGTCATGCGCTCAGCAGTTTTCGTTCACTCTCAAAGAGTGATTCAGAGGCACGGGAACTAGAACTGCCGCCACCAACAATTTCCCCAAGCTCCGCAGCCCAATCATTGAGACGTTTGTCAAACTCCACTGATGAGCGTTTAGACATAATACACAATGTGACGTAGGCCACCGCGTGGACGAAACGACGGAGAGAATATTCAACTGCTACCTAACAAAGACAAAGACCACGCCCCCCCAAAAAGCCTTAACAGACTATAGGGACAAGTGCTGTTAGCAAGCACCTATGAAGGACGGCACGGCACACGAGGGGGTTGGTGGCCAGGACCACGCCCGGCCGCCTTCGTCTCCCCAGTGGCGGTTTACTCCACACGGCACCAGGTACTCATTTGAGGCTGAGTCGACATAGGGGAGGCCCAGGACCGCTTCAGATCATCATAACATTCTACTGCAGCCAAATGGACAAACGCAACAACACATTACTACTGTGCACGTACGGCTACGCACGCGTGCGTGTGTAGTGACGTGGGGAGCGGTAGTGTAGCGGTTAGCGCGCTGCGCTAAGAACCCAGCGATTCGAGTTCGATTCCCGCTCACGGCCAACACCAGTGACAATAATCTGAACTGGTCCTGGGCCACTTCCCCTAGGTCGACTCAGCCTCAAATTATTACCCGGTGTGGTGTATAAAAATCGCCACTGGGGAAATAAAGGCAGACCGGGCGTGGTGCTGGCCACCCACCTCCTCATGAACCGTGCCGGCCTTCATAGGTGCTCGCTAACAGCACTTGCCCCAACAGTCTGGTAAGGCTATACGGGGGATCGTTGTTTAAAGTGACGTCACCGCAGCGTTGCCACCCTGGTTTATACTCCGTGACCCTCGACACTCCAAGTCACTTATTTTGTCATTCGCCGAGCTCGGGGATTCACGCAGGACAGCACAGGGCATACGGAACACCGCGTGACGAGGCTACGAGAGACAAGGCTGTGCGCTGGGGATCTTTCGGCACACGATGTCTGATGTTTCGCTCCAGGAGCTTACTCAAGAAACTGAACTCCGGAACAACATTCAGCAAGCGAGCTGCTGCATTCTAATGCAGCAGCATAGGATGACTGAGAGAACGAGGCTGTCTGAGGCAGAGCGTGCTGCAGTCGTCCAGTCTGGATGAATTTATGGATTGATGAATCTCGCAAGGTCCTTGCGGACTGGCCTTGGCTCAGGAAATGATTAAGTTTCCTGCGCGAGCTCCCAGGGAGCGGAACGACGCGGGTCGTGCCGCATGTCCTTCGGCACGATGTCAGACGTTTCGCAAAACGCGGTGGGAGATTCCTCTTCAGAAACTGATCCGAGATTTGACGAGATCAGAAACAGTTCCAGAAGAAGCTCCCAGGGCGTGTAGGTATGTATAATGTTGAACTTCTTTCGCAGCATACGTAGCTGACTGTGGTCATCGGAGGTGCGGGGGAAGGACGTGGAGTGAAACGTCGGACACTGTGCCGAAGCACACGTGGTACAACATGAGAAAGCTACGCAGTAGTACAACACATTATTCTACTGCCACCTAACAGTCAACGCAATCAAACGACATGCAGAGCGCAGGAATGGACATCGGAGACACACGCCAAACACGCGGTGCTGGTGCTGGCATTGTATATCATGGCCGCAAATTGAACCCCGACAGCTGGGATTGTGGCACGGAAATTCACACGCACACATCCACATATTGTTCATGCCCATCCGTACACTCGGCGTGTAGAGGTTCGCTCCCTGCACAACGTCAATGCGTTTGAAACCGGTGCTCATGAAACTGGAACCGAAAGTCGGGGAGTTAATTTCTACACGTACAACCCGATTGTCAATCCACTGCTACATGGAGAGGGGGGGGTCTCCCCATGTGTGGATAATGGGGGTTATTTGATCATACTTCACCACACTCGTCACTGCAGGGTGGTGAAGGGGGGCAGCATAGGAGAGGGAGTAAAGAAGTACAAAACAGCGGATGTTGCTGCACTGCCCTCTGCTGCCCACGACATGGCCCGGCAAGCCACGTAGTTTGCTTTGCGTGGTGGGCACCCACGTACAGCAACTATCCACACTCGACGCGGCTCATCTCCCGAGATCCGACGAGGTCGAGCGCCTTGCCAGTGAATTGGGTCACCAAGGAAGTGCTTAATTTTTAAGGACTAAAATGACTCGGGAACTCCCCGAGCAAAGGTCGCCTGGTACCCCGTTGTTCCCGTGTGGGAATGTAGGACCCTCTGAATCGGCATTAGTAATGAGACACAGTCTCAAAAGAACTGGGGGTTCCAGAGTTGAAAGTCTTGGAAGAGTCAAGACTCCGTAACTCACTACTGGATGAGACGTCTCTTAATGATTTAGGATTGTTAGCATGCACAGCTTTCATTCACTCTGAGACAGAGGATGATTCAGCAGTGTGGGGAAACAACAGACAAGCAGCCATAACTGGTGCCAGACATTTAATTGAGGTCTGTGGTCCTATACTGGAATGTTTTGGCCAATTACATTCAGAAGTGTTTATTACATGTGGGAGAAAACCGGAGTACCCAGGGAAAAGCTGTGCGTGCAAGGAGAGTAACACTCTATCCCCATATAGATGGAATGCAGATAGAAATGAATCCTCTTACTGGACTGCCATCATACCCTGGCATGACAGAAGATGTCGACTCCACGAATGTGTACGATCTACCAACCCAGGCCACATGAAGCATCGTCATCAGCGCCTGTCTTGCTTCAATGCGAAGCATCACGTGCTTGGCGGTTAACCACATTTCTGGTTAAGGTCGTGTGCTTTGGGAATCAAAGGGGTGTTGCGAGTATTAAACAACTTGTGTAAAATGGTGTCTGGCCCATGAGGGTGAAGGTTGAATGTAAAAACAATAGTAATAAAAATACACACATCAAATACACACACACTACACACGTATACAAACACAAAGACCCCTCTTGTAGTCTGAACAGACTATTGGGGCAAGTGCTGTTAGCGAGTAGCACCGATGAAGGCCGGCACGGCACACGAGGGGGTGAATGGCCAGCACAACGCCAGGTGTCCTTTGTCTCTCCCAGTGGCGATGTTTACACACCGCTACACTACCGCTCCCCATACACACTCACCTACACATCCACACAGACATGTTACACAAGCGCACAATCGTGAGTCATATAAAAACTAAAGTTTCTCACGGTAGGTTCCCCTAACCCCTAAACCTAAACACACGCACGCCAACACACACTTGTATGTGTCTCTCTCTGCATGTTTGTCTGCCTATGCTGTTCCCATGTCTGTGTTTTATCATTCATTCTTACCTGATGATGGTGCTTGTGTTGCAACCGAAACGTCATACTCTATTATTATTTGATTTTATTTTCTACGTGACTTTACCGAAAGAACCAAAGAGTAATTCCTGCAGTCACGAAAGCTTCGAATCTAGTTTGAAGGTCCTTAATGATTGTGAGCAGAGAGTCAGGGACTCCGAAAGCATGAAGATCAACCTAGAGCCTAGGCCCACTGATGGTATCACAGGCCTTCACCAGGTCTTGTTGGAATTTCCTACACCTCTGCTGCAGCAGCCGGACAGAAAATATGGCATCTGTGCAGGACCGCCCGTTCCTGAAACCATATTGGGGCTCCGCAAGCCTTTCCTCAGCGTGCCTGGCAAGGTGATGTTGAATACGTTGCCAGGACCTTTCCCGGCACACTGAGAAGGGAGATGCCCCTATAATTGTCACAGTCTGTACGGTCCCCCTTCTTAAATAGGCAGACCACTTGGGCACCACTTGGGCACCACACGCACACAACAACAACAACCACCATTCGCCACTAAGTGGCGGACCCAGGTGCCATGGGTCAACTGAGATGAGTGGCTGATGCACCACCTGTGCCCCCTACTGTGCGAACTTGCTGTGCTTTAGCCACTCGGCGCTCCACTCGTTGTTGTGAGCATCGCTCCTCCGCCCTCCGTTGTTGTTGGAGGGCGACTGCTTCAAACTGCCCAGTAGCGTCCTTCACGAGCCTTCTCCACAGAGGCCGATCTTGACACCGCTGGTACCAGTCATCGGCAAGTCCACTCAGCTCCACATCCTCCTGTACCACATCACTCAATCTCTTTTTAAGCCCGTGCGGCGCCCGTTTAGCCCCCTAAATCCGGCCGAACAAAAGCTATTTAGGCATGCGGTGACTTAGCATGCGGGCTACATGGCCCAGCCAACGCAGCCTTGCCTGCCGGAGAAGCTCACCGATGAGACTTTGTCCAGATCTTTCAAGGATTTGTGAGCTCCTCACACAATCCAGCCTGGTTAAACCCAGGATGGATCGTAGACAGGCCAGCCTAAATGTTTCTAACCGGCGAAGATGTTCCATTAGGGGGGTCCACATTTCGCAAGCGTAGAGAAGGGAGGGGATGACCATAGCCGAGAAGACCTGAAGCTTCATATGGAGCGACAAACCAGGTAGCTTCCACACAGCGTTACGCAACCGATGAAAAGATAATGCCGCTCGACTGATTCGGAGCGAGACTTCTGCTGTTAAACCAGAGCCGGTCATAAGCACACTGCCCAGATATGGGAAACTCTCCACTCTCTCCACAACTGCCCCATCACCAATTGGGAGTTGTGGAGGAGTGTCCGATGGTACAAAATACCCTGGCAGGTGCATAGTTTTGATGGGGCTGATGGTAAGGCCCCACCTCTAAGCTCCAGGTTAGCAGCAGCGCCTCCAACTCTTCCTCTGAGCAGCGATTACCAGATCACCGGCATACGTAACATGGTTGAGCAATAGGGAGCCATCCCTTGACCGCACCCGGGCATCGATCAGCCTCCCATTATATCTGTACCAGATGTAAATTCCTCCGGTACAGCTATTGAAGGCCTCACGAACTACGTGGTCAAAATAGATGTTAAATGTGGGAGCCAGAGGACATCCCTGTCGCACCCCAAGGTGTACAGCGAATGGCTCCGACTCCCGGCCACGTAGTTTTACCCGGGCCCGCTCACCATCATGAAGGTCCTTAATGATCGTGAGCAGAGGGTCAGGGACTCCGAAAGCACGAAGAACAACCCAGAGCTCAGGCCTACTGATGGTATCACAGGCCTTCACCAGGTCAATAAAGCAGAGATGTAGGTCTTGTTGGAATTCCTTATACCTCTGCTGTAGCAGACAGACAGAAAATATGGCATCCGTGCAGGACCGCCCTTTTCCTGAAACCACATTAAGGCTCCGCAAGCCTCTCCTCAGCGTGCCTAGCAAGGCGATGTTCAATAATCCTTGCCAGGACCTTTCCCGACACACTGAGGAGTGAGATGCCCCTGTAGTTGTTACAGTCTGTGCGGTCCCCCGTCTTAAAAAGGGGGACCACACGCACACACACGTATGCACACACACGTATTCACACATACGTACGCACAAGCACGCACACACGTACGCACACGTACACACACGCACCGATCTGTGCGTTGTCATAGAGCCGCAGGTCGTACGCGCCCTGGTAGCCGGCGCGGTAGTTGGTGCGCACGCCGCCGTCCCACTGCACGACGGCGGTCCGGTCGGGCGTGCAGGCGCTGCCCTGGCGGCCGACCTCCACCACGGTGCCCGCGTGGCCCTCACCCTCGTCCTGCGCGGCCCACTTCCAGTCGGGCCCGCGCACCACGCGCATGCCCACCTCCATGGCCGCCGCCACCGCCACCGCTTCGACCGGCGAGGGGGGGTGCCGAGACGGTGCACGTCGTGCGTGGAGGGCACAGGCGGGCAGGGGGATGCTCGCGTCCTAAGGCACAGGTAAAGACACAGCACGAAGGGGAGGGGGGAGGCGTGGGGGTGGTAGGTGATCGGTTGTTGGAATGGTCACACGTTATGAAGGTTAGGTAGGTCAACTGTTAGAGTGTGCAGTTTGGGTCATTTTATGCAATGGCTTCTCTCTTCAACAGGGCGTATGGGAAAGTTCGTAATTCTATGGGTCTCTGTACCAGTGTCTGGGTCAGTCTATATGGGTCTTCATAGGAAGTCTGTGTGCGGGTCCATGGGCCTCCATGTGAGTCTCTACGGGTCTCTGTGTGAGTGTATGCGTCTAACTTGGATTCACGTAGAGTCTTAATGTGCCAGCATCTCAAGATGCTGTACAGAAAGTGAGTACACAGGATTTCTTTTATTGAGGCAGTTAGTCAGGCAGAAGAGAAGGGGAAAGGAAGACCTTGATCGTGGACTTGAACCGTAGCAGGGAGTCGACTGCACGGATTGCTGGGGGAAGGAAGTTTCAGACAATGGGGGCAGCAGAGGAGCATGAGCAGCCTCCCACTGAGAAAACATTACCTTGAAGCTAATGGAACAAATTAGAAATTAACTCGAAAGATGTAACGATATTATACAATAACACGATTTGTATAATGAAAAATACCACTAAAAGCTGTTTAATTAGAATTGTCCAGAAAAGTGTCAGTTAACTACCACGACCCCTATGAGTGTAAAAAAGAAGTTGTCTGTGAATTATAATTAAATTTTGTTAACAAGAGTGGGTGGTGTTTGGGCAGGACGCATCATGGCTATAGACAGGATGATGGCATGTGGTCTTAATAGAATGGCAAGTAATGAATGGAATGCGTTTTGCGATTGCGAGAGATGGGGAGGGGGGGCTTGGGTATTCCATCATCCAGCAGTGGAGTGATCATGGCTGATGAGGATTACAATTCATTTTCTTCACCTATTATGGATATCAAAAACAACATCATTGAACAGAGTGCTTGAAATGCTTGGGTTTACTGACGGATTCAACCTCCAGTGACCCGGGTGCTGCTGCGGGGTTTACTTTCTGCCCCCCCCCTTCCCTCTCCCCCCCTACTGCCGAGGCCTACTATATAACCTCGTGCCACGGCAGATCTCTCGCCTACTTCAGCAGTTTTTTCTTGCTGTGGTTGTCCCACCTGATGACGATTGCTTGTGTTGCGATCGAAACGTCGTGATCTATTCTTTTTCTACCCACGTGACTTTACCGAAATAACCAAAGAGTAAGAATGCATGTATTAAACTTGATTTGGAGCTTTCGTAACTGCAGGAATTACTCTTTGGTTCTTTCACGTAGAAAGAAAATAAATTAAATAATAGCATATCGACGTTTCATTTGCAACACAAGCAATCATCATCAGGTACAAATGAAAGAGAAAACAAACCGAGTAAACTTAGAAATATAATGCAACACAACACAGAGAGTCGGCTAACATAACAGTCAACACCCCACCTGGTAGATTACGTTTTTCCAAAGATTGCTAAATTTTAGAGAGACAAACACACACGGAGACACATACGAAGAAAGAGATAACATAGGCACACAGAGACACACACACACATAGGCACACAGAAAAACATTTCTTAACTTCTAATTTAGAAATCTTTGGAAGAACGTAATCAACCAGGCTATGCGTTGTGTGTTGACCGACTTTCTGTGTTGCATTGCATTACATTTCCAAATTTTGCTAAGTTTGTTTGATTAAGTGTGTTTTCTCTCTGTGTCCTCGTGTTGTAGTATTTCCTGCAGTCATGAAAGCTCCAAATCTCTCATTGACATGCTGATTTCTCTACCCCCCTCTCTCTCTGCCCCCCTCTCTATTTCAGGCCTCGACACCTGAGCATTGTTTCTATGTGTGCCTATGTGTGTGTCCCTCTCTGTGTCTCTGTGTGAGTCTCTCACTGCTTGTGTGTCTGTCTATGTGCCTCCGTGTCTGTGTTTTGTCTCTCTCTCAAATTTAGCAATCTTTGGAAGAACGTAATCAACCAGGTAGGGTGTTGACTGTTATGTTAGCCGACTCTCTGTGTTGCATTGCATTATATCTCTAAGTTTACTAGGTTTGTTTCCTTTCATTTGTACCTGATGATGATTGCTTGTGTTGCAATTGAAACGTCGTATGCTATTATTTAATTTATTTTCTTTCTACGTGACTTTACCGAAAGAACCGAAGAGTAATGCATATATTACCAGAGTATGTTTTTTGTTTGCATTCTGACCACAGGTATTGTGGTTAATGCAGACATGATTCCTTGTAAAAGGTTTCAGTTTGGTGTTTTAACAACTTAACACCTGTTTTGTTGCCAGAAAAAAGGTGAAAACCTATTATCATATATTATTTTTTCTCCCTTGTGATGGGCCTTTATAGAATGAACGTTGAGAATTATGAGGGCACGGGGTGACCAATAAGGTCTGACTTGGTCTGTAGTAAGGTGGGCACTAATACAGGGTTGACAGGTAAGAAACACCATTAATAATTAGTATAATTAAATTAACACCACGGTTATTAATTAGTAAAATTGAGTTTAAAACACAAATAGGACCACGATGGGCTGCACCTGGACTCGGTTCTTTAAATGAAATCGTGAAGTCACGCGAGGCGACGAGGCTGTGTAGAAAAGTTAAACTTCGTTAAGCCTTGAAGATTCAAAGACATTAAGCCTCAAATATTCCAAAGAATATAAACAAGACAACACGGCAAGTTCAATGAAAGTGTGTAGTAATATTAATAAAAGTGTATCATAAGAAGTGGCAAAGCCTTTGTCGTTGCAGCACCGACGTTTTGGAACAAGCTTGTTTCCTCCCTTAACATAAATCTTCCTTTGAAAATATATTTTGAAGTAGATGACTAGTGCTGGATACAGCCACATTTGCCAATGTGATTTGTAGATTTGATTCTTAGAAATGTATCGTGCAATTTGTATGAACAATTTGTGTGTCTTGGTGGTCTGGGACTGTTCTTGCTGATGTTCCACTGCCTTTCCCAAGCTTGGGAATTGATGTACTCACGCAAATTTTACTTTGTATGGTTGAGATGTTAACTACCTCGCCTGGTGTGCAGGAGGTCGTGGGTTCGATCCCGACCCTGACGCCTGCTGCTGCTGTAAATTTGGAGTTTGCAGTGTCTCCCCGTGGTCGAGTGGATTTTGCTGAGATTACTTTCCTGCAATACATTTCCACATAAGCCACTTTGATGATCTATAATGTGGCCAGATCGCTTCTGTGGGACTTACCTGGTAAGAAGAGATTTGTTTACCTTGCCTATGCAGTATTTTGCACTGTTGTGTTTCTGTAGTTTGTTGTTGTAAACGCCTGACCCGCCACTACTGGACATCTGTGAAAAAGAGCTGTATAGCTCATTGGGTTTCTCCTGCAGTATAGATTCTGAGTGTTGTTTATTTAAATCAAAACAGCAGCACCGCGGCCTAGCAGCACGAGGCCTGCGGCAAGCACGCCCTCGCCTGGAAGCGCTGCCGCCTCCCACACCTATAGCTCCGGCCGCGCTCATTAGGTCCACCCACTCCCGCCCCTTTCAAACACATCAAAATAAATCACACTAACACATATAACAGGAACAAAACTGCGCAACTTTGCACTTCTCATTAGCTCCGGGTAACGGTTGTTATATATATATATATACTCCAGTATATCACTGTACTGTCAATAGACTGGAGCGCTTTCGAGAGGACGACCACATGGGGTGAGCGGGGAGGAGATGGAGTGACATCGCGGGAACGGGGAGGGCTTCAATCCAGCAGTGGAACGACCGTGGCTGTGGCACCGAACCCCAGGAGGCGGCGGCGGCGGTGGCCGTGATGATAAACACGAGACTTGCGCGTCACTCACCACACAAGACGGAACGGCAACCCGGCCTCTGCAGCAGCAGCTGTTACGGCTATCGCTGTTTATTAAACCCTCCTCCTCTCGCGCCCTCTCTCTCTTGGCTGTCGCTGACGAAATTAAGTTGTAGTTTATTAATTTGCAGGAATCCCGAGCGCGATTTGCAGATCCGTAAATTAAAACGCGCGAGGCACGCGCGGCCCCAACGGACGCCGCGGCCTCCGTAGCGACGTCACGCGGGAGTGGAGTCACTTCCGGGATGCGCGGTGACGTCACCCGTAGACGCCACGTGCGAATTAGTCCAAGCAGAATGATCATCTATCATTCACATTATCGATCGTTATGAAAATGAAGCATTTTTGGTATTCACACACTATTCTTAAAGCGCAAGGCTATCATCACGAAAGGAGGCGCTTGCTGTGTGTTCACTGACGCTGTCATCCCTGAAACATTAATTGGCGCTGTGATTGTTTTCTAATTTGACGCCGGCACACAATGGCCTACTTCTCTGTGACGACCTCGCTAGATCTTTAGCATCCACCGTGAAGCACGCGGCGCGTGTGTGCATGGTATGTGGTTTTGTGAGCAAGAGCAGTGTTAACTCGGGCGGCCGGTCGGAATCGAGCCACGCACGTCTGCAAAAAGCAGCGAACTTCCCTAACTCGACCGGGCAAAGCCAGCTGACCATAAAAAAAATATTTGCAAATAATATGGTAGTAACTGACGTAACACCAAGCACTGCAATATAATTGCATTCAAATAACTCCATGAAATGAAAGTAATTTACTGTGTACCAAATAAAGATGTAACAAAAAAATTCAGTAAATCACCGTGCTGACCACACTTCAGCCCGAATTTGACTCGAGGCCCACGGCTTCATATCAGTCGCAACTGATAACTGGCCACGCAGTGATTCCCCAATCGAACGGCTCAATTAAAACAAACCCCCGTTGCTTCAAAGCAAGATTGAACCCTTTTGCATTCAACGATGTCTGTCTTTGGTTTTATAAATGCGGCCCGTCAGAGACAGACCTACTCGACAAATAATAAAAAGCTTATAACCAGTAATGAGTGCGTGCCGCGCAGAGCTTATATAGGAAACCCAATGACCTTTACGCCATGGGGCCTGCTTAAAGTAGTATTTTTATATA